TCTTACAGTGTAGGTAGGAGAAAACAAGAAGGAGTACTTTCTCAACTATGCGGTTTTGCGAAAGTTACTAAATAAGTCATCTGGCTATGAGTAAGGAGTGTCCACATGAGGGTCGGAACGTTTTGGCCTGCAAAAAATGAATCAAATCTAATGAAATTTTTGTGCAATTTTTGTACATAATCAAATTCTTTTTGCAGTTTTGAAAAGCTTATAAAATTTGCCAATTTTTAAGCCTTTTAAATATCCAAAATTATTTTTTAACTGGCTGAATAAATACGGGGAATCTTGACCCTTACAATATGGGGACAGTCCATACTTTATCTGGCATGAAACTGCTAGAAAAAAACGTTGTATAATGATTATTTATGCACATATTTCTTTAACCGGCAGCAATTAAGGTTAATGTCTTGAGAGCCACGAAGATAAATACTTAATCATAGATAACTGGTTAACTACATACATACTTATCTAAGGAAGTTGGGGCAATAATATTTTGTAATTTATCGGTAAAAGTTTATAAATCCAAAAATCTTTATTACATTTACATACCTACCTTTACATAGTATATTTTGGTTTGGGTATCCGAAAGTAAAGCATGTCCCTTAACAGCCTTATTTCCCAGGTTTCGGTATCTTAATAAAATAATCTAATAAATTTTGTGGATTTCGGTTAAACCGATATAATAAAATGTTATCATTAGAAATATTCTTTGCCAATTCAACTTCTGGAACTTGCAAAGTCAAACGATATGGTTTAACACAATAAGAAGGGCTGAGTTGATTTAAATAGAAACTATGTTAGATATCTTGGAATATTTCCTTAGGAAATTTTTCTTTTTACCTTTTCCATTCTCCGTGTCAAACGGGACCGTAACCTACATTCGTCCATCCAAATTGAAACAACTATGGGAACATGTCGTTCACATTATTTATTTTGCCCATACAACCGTAACTGTCATATTGTTCATGTATCTGGATTTTGATTTAAAATATGAAAGCAACCATGGCCGGCCTTTGATCGACATAATGCGTAGAATGGCTATTCTTTACGATCTATTTATTGGTCTTACAATGGCCGGATTGGTGTCAGAACGATGGTTGTATCCTTGGGCTATTCCTCCTGTCCTGAACAGCCTCCAGACAATGAAAAGAAGACTTAAAGGTACGAAGAATATATCTAACAAGGCGATGGTTTCAAGTGTTTCCCTCCGATTTGGCTGAAATTTCAAAATTTTGTGGTCCAATTTGATTGGATTTAATTTAAGCCTTTATTCACGTGTTAATAGTTATCAGTTACAAAATTGGTTTAAAAACTATGACCAAGTCAATACAACCAACGTTTCTTGAGACAGTTTGTGTGATGGCTGGAGTTACTCAAAATATTTTAGGTTAAAGTTGAAAAATAGGTGATTTTTCCCTTTTAACGGAACGGGAGTGTGGTTTGATTCCTCTGCTTGGTAAAAATCACCCATTTTTTCAACTATGACTTCAAATATTTTGACAAATTCCAACCATCGCACAAACTGCCTCAAGAGATGTTTCTTGTATTGACTTGGACCACATAATTTCAAAATTTCAACCAATTCGGAGGGTTACACTTCACACCATCGCATTGGAAGTATCAAATTATGCCACGTATTTTTTTAGTATCTGATTTTCTAGTGTCGGACCACAAAGACAAAACGGCACGTATCGTCCTTAAAGCAGTTATTCAATGCTGTCTTGCCTCACCGGTGATTTGTCCGGTACTATCCGTCATAACAAACATCGACGCATTATTGGTATTCATTACTGAAGTGGATATAAACAGCACGTTAAATCTTCAAGAGTCACGGGTTACATCGACTTTATCATACGGTTTCCGATTGGGAGCTTTGATAATCTTCTGCTACGATATGGCATCAAGCTTCTCAGTCTTGGCTATTCTTGGTTACATGATTGTGGATGGATTGAAAAGCATTTTATCTCGTTTGAAGAAAAGGACTTATGGATTCTTTCGAAGGCAACAATTAATTCAGGCATGGGGCGAAATTCAAATTTGGATGGATTTTCTAAACTATTATTTTTGTTGGTTAGAGTTGCTAGCGCAAATTTTTGCGGGTGCGAATCTTACCGTCTTTACGACATACTGGTCAATCAGGTGTACATATGTTATGCAAGAGAGTGTGATTTTATACCTGCTGGGCCCTTACTCGAGTATCATGTGTTTTCTTGCGGTTGTACTTGTATTGCCGAAATTGGCAATGATATATTCATTTTCAGAGAGTATTCTGAAGGATTTGAGGTTCCACGCTAGGACAAAGTTGGAGCGGAGACGTTTAAAGGCTTTAAAACCGATTGGGTTTCAGTTAGGGTGGTGTGGTTTTTACCAAAGTGAACAACAGAAGGCATTAGTACAGTATATCGTTGATTATACAATTAATGCATTAATGACAGTGTAGTAGGATTGATTATAAATTTATGTTCGTCACTAACAACGCGATGGTGTGAATTGTAACCCTCCGATTTGGTTGCAATTTTGAAATTATGTGGTTCATGTTAGTACAAGCTTTTACCTCTGGTTTTTTTTGTGCAATTTTTCTAACATCTATAATTTAATTAAGTATTATTATTTTGTAATTTGATAAAAATTCGAATTGGTTAATAATTAGTTAGTTTAAGTAAGTAAATGTTGTTAGTTAATGTCCTAAATTTACTGACATTAAATAATTTTTCCCCGCGCCGAATTTGTACTGCGCAGTTGAGAATTGTTTTGAAGGTTCAATTGATAAAATTATTGATTTGACGTCAATTAAACACGGTAATAGTAAAGGCTTAGATAGGATGTAAACTATTGAAACATGCCATGCAGCTTATTTGTAGTGTAATGTGAAACTAGAGCTACCTTCTTTAGTCTTAATCATTTCTACCTGTATGTCATGGTCGTATAAATCAGTATAAAAATGTTATTATTATTATATTATTATTAATGGTCATCATCGCAGACATAAAAATTAGCACCCACTAACCATATGCATCGGAGGATTTCTCCTTCATTGATAGATTTTCTAAGGCTTCACTTAGCTTGAGTAAAACCTTCCCCATTTATTATTAGGCAGACAAGGGACAGAGTAACTATAAAGTATGATGCTTATCCCAATCAAGGAATTGAAATCAGAAAAATTGATTCACTTTGATTTTACAGTCTTAATCCCGATTGCTAAATAGCTTAGTCCTGGTGAAGCTATTTAAGCTATTGAACTATCAAAATAAGGTTCAATCGAATAATATTTCAATAAATTTATCAGCTGGTGGAAATTTTGATGACTGAAGTAGTGAAAACACTAAAAAAGTACGTTTTTAACCTTCAAGATTTATATTGGTATACAATCGGAATATCTGTAGTTTTCACCTCAAAGTGCAGAAAGTGTGGTAGGGACTTTATTGAAAACTCACATGTTAAGGGGCTTGACACACCACAATAATATTCACTCATAAATTTCATCATATTTAGCAAGAAATTGCAACGTACAAGACTAATTATTCTATGTATCTGTCTAAATTATTTTACATAATCAATGAGAGTGGTACTAGTATAAAATTTATGTATTTACATTATATACTTGCAAATGATAAGTAGTTGTACCATGAAACAGAAAATTCATATCGTCGTTGAAGGATGGAAAAGAGCCATCTCCATTTGGTGTTAAATAAGGAAAGAGCCTTCTCCATTCGTCGTCAAATAAAAAAGGGGCCTTCTCCAAACTCCGAGTTTTTCTTAGGTGAGGCGAAAGCCGGAAAGCGGGGCCCCACGCAAAAAGCAAAAATGAATATGCTCGGTTGGGGCCCGGCGTAGCCTGAGTATGCGAATCCACTGACCACCGAAAAACTCCCACAAATCTCACGCATGAACGATGCGTCCAAGAGAAAAATAACAAGAGACAAAATAGTTAGAGAATTATGTAACTTAATTTGGTTAAATTTGGTTTTTTGAAATTTTGAGTATTTCCATTAAAAATAGACGTTTGAAGATTTCAGATGGCTGAAGTCCACGTAAAATTTAAACTTTCTTATTGGACATAGCAGTTTTTTATATTGCTCACATTGAGATCTAACTTTTTCCTGTTACACTTTTTTATGTACAAAGCTAACTGACTGAGCAAAATAGTAATTATACGTTTTATGTAATTATTGAATGCTAAACAAATACGAGCTATAAAGAAGTCGTAGCAACTGAATGTACATAATGGTCTAGAGGTTAAGGGGTGGGATTATTGATCAAGGAGACGTGGGTTCGATTCTTCTGATTGTCTAATTTTTTTGCAGTACTTTATTTGATTCCTCATCCATTATTTAGAATGAAAGTCCCTTACGTCAAGGGTCAGATTAGAATTTGACATGTCACACCCCCTCGCCACGACGGGGGATGTGGCAATGAAAATATTCATTTTTTCAATTCAATTTTTCCTTCTTATGTTGTTCTAATGGGTAATCTAATGACAGACAATCAATTTATCTCAAGAGGTGTGGTCAGGGGGTGTGGCGAAATATAAAATAAATATAAAATGCTTACTATTGTTGGAATCCTTAAATGAGCTGGCAATCCTGCCGTTCGCAGATTCTCCCCACCACTACCCCTCTTTTGGGGCTAGTGGTGGAATAAGAGTCTCTTTCAGTTGCTACCTCTCAACATGCACGCTTGGCACAGTTGGTAGCGCATCCACTCTTCACTCGTGGCGGCGTGGGTTCGATCCCTAGCCTACTCACATTTATTTTCGCTCAATTTTTTTGCAGTTTTTATTTCTATTATAGGTTGTTATATATTGCTCAATCAATTGCGAAAAACAAAAACAACAATTCGAAAATTTTGGCGTTCAATATTGTTCGAATTTTACTTTATAAACTCTCATTACAAGCTATTATTAACTTTCATGCCAAATTTAATCTCGACTGGGTTATTTTTGCAAAATCATTCAATCCATCAAAAAAGGCATTATTTTATTTGAAGTGCAAGGTGGTGGTGATCATTGGTGGGAATGGTGCACATGCAGCAAAGATGTGTGTGGGTGATGTGCATCTTTTATAAACGGTGATCACAAAATTCAATTGTAAAGCATTTTATTGATTTATATTTTTTAAATTGATACAGAGATATGAATGACTACTATATTGCTACGAATGGCTACTCTATTCCTACCAATGACTACTATATTGCAACCGATGACTACTATATTGCTACGAATGACTACTATTTTGCTACCAATGACTTCTATTTTGCTGCCAATGACTACTAGATGGCTACGTATGACTACTATATTGCTACGAATGAGTACTATTTTGCTACCAATGACTACTAGATGGCTACGTATGACTACTATATTGCTACGAATGACTACTATTTTGCTACCAATGACTTCTATTTTGCTGCCAATGACTACTAGATGGCTACGTATGACTACTATATTGCTACGAATGAGTACTATTTTGCTACCAATGACTACTATATTGCTACGAATGACTACTAGATTACAACCAATGACTACTATATTTCTACGAATGACTACTATATTGCTACGAATGACTACTATTTTGCTACCAATGACTACTATATTGCAACCAATGACTACTATATTGCTACGAATGACTACTATATTGCTACGAATGACTACTATTTTGCTACCAATGACTACTAGATGGCTACGTATGACTACTATATTGCTACGAATGACTACTATATTGCTTCCAATGACTAAACACCAAGAATTAGTGGTAATTTATTTATTTAAATTTACACCGAGCCACCTCCTCGCCCCCTGCCGCGCCCCCTACCTCGTCCGGGTTTTGCAAAATTGAGACGCTTTACACATGTTTTCCTTCGTTTTGGAGAAGGGGGAGCAGATGTATGCATAAATGCTCCAATTTCTCGCTCGTAATCAAATTGGGCAGCATCCTCAATGTTGCAGTCATTTATCACCTGCAAAAAGTATGCAAATATGCTTTTCATTCAAGTGTGCAACATGATTTCCACTAACCTGTGCAGTAACTTGACAACTATCTTCCTCAAAATCTCCTGCTTCATCATCTTTCTCCTCCTCTTGTTCAGAGTCCTCTTCTTCGTCCTCCTCTTGCTCGTCCTCCGTTATGATAACTGGTGATTGGGCCATAGCGCCATCAAACCATCCATCTTCTTCCCAATATCGTTGTTGCAAACTGAAACATATACCAAAAGTCATTGAGAACTTAGTAAACTTAATCAGGGCTTAGTAAGGGCTAAACGGAGAAAGTTCTAACTTTTTCACATGGGCCCAAAAAGGTTTAATCTGAGCAGCTCCGAATGCTCGCAATACTTCTTACGCAATCTGTTTAACTTCCTTCAAATTTTGATGGGCATTTCTTTTCCGGATTTCTGCCTTAATCATTTTCCATACAAACCTACATGTGACCAAAATTGAATTGTAGACCAATACTTTATGTAGCAAAAGGCAATTAAAATTAAATCGTGATTACTCAACTCTATGACATTTAAGTCACATCCATATGGGGGTAATCTGAGAATGGAATATCCTCTCTTGACGACCTCTCGGTCGACCTCATATAGATCGTTCTTTAATCCACCCTTGTCAATAATCTCGGTCACCATTTCCATTATTTCCCATTTGTAATATTTGTCTATTGGTTGAATCGACCTTGCGGGTGAAAGTTTGTTTTCATGAAGCTTCAAAAAATCATACCAAACTTTCTTCTCTCAGCCACTTTGGGTTTTAGCGATGTAGAATGGTACCTTTATATATCCAAGGCATACAATAAATAAGAAAAATAATTGGAGGATGGAGTTAATGCGTAACCTACGGTGCATTATCCATCACAATTATATACGATTCATTGGTCTTATCCAAAGCAGGCAATAGTTTGGTATTCAACCAAGACATAAACACATCCTTGTTGACGTTTTGGTGGTAATCTGCTGAAGCATTTGTGGCTGCAATCTCGTATACAAGACTTGCTTCTGGAATTATTCCAGATTCCGTGCAAGCACTCAGAACGATTAGCCTGAATTTAACAATTAATTATAAAATATTAAAGATTTCATAATAAAATATTAAAGATGTCCCCATGCTTCCGAGACCACTGATTGCAAATATTACTAATTTACCTGTTTCCTCGAGATACTTTATGATCTTTCCAGCTGTAATCCGCCATGTCCTTCATTTTCCTGCATTTCCGTGGAATCCACCCCTTTGACACTCTTTGGTTAGGGTCTTCACAAGCAAAGAATTAAATTACTAACACATGCATACTTGGCAGAAAGTACTACAAGTATTACTCACAAGGGAAGATACCGAGGTGTCCAACGAGTTAAGGGTCGACACCTATACCAAAATGACCACAATACATGACTTCTTAAACAAACTGAAGGAATTTCCGTGTAAAATTTACTTTTCGTCACGTTTTGACGATATTTGTTACGAGCGCATGACCATAGGCTTGCCAGAGAGGAAGAGGTTGGCCGCTGAACGATCAGCTTCTGATACAGAGAAGCGTCGTCGTCTTCATGTTATCTTCCGAGATTTCGAATTCTTTCAAATTTTGAAACTATGTTGAAATCTTGAAGAAATTTTGGAAAGATTTTGAAATTTTGAAGAAATTTTGAAATTTCGAAAAAATTGAAATTTTGACAGTTTTTAAGTTTTGGAAAAGTTTTGAAATTTTGAAATAATTATGAAATTTTGAAAAAATTAGAGGTGTGTAGGTTATCTGAAGTTTGAAATCTGTGAGGATAAAATGTGGTCGACCTGATCGTTCAGCGGCCGACCTCTTCCTCTCTGGCATCCCAATGGTCATGCGCTCGTCACAAATATCGTCACAACGTGACAAAAAGTGAATTATACACTGAAATTCCTTCAGTTTGTTTAATACGTCATGTATTGTGGTCATTTTGGTATAGGTCTCGACCCTTAACTCGTTGGACACCTCGGAATGTTCCCTTGTCAGTTACTTGAAAAGGAAAGTATTACCAATCCATGTTTCGTCAATGTAGCTTAGTTTTTTAGGCACGGGGGAAGCCTCATTCGCTCTAACGTCTCTTAGAAATTTCCCTCTCATTTTTAAAATATCATCCCTTTGACAAATAACCGCTCGAGTTTCAACCTTTCCGTACTTGAAATTCATTTCTGTTTTTAAGAATTTTCTAAACGTCTTACGGCTCATGTGAAATACTGGTGGAGGATCGGTCGTTGTAGATGTTGAAGCAACTTGTCTTGTGGGAGATGAACCTGATGTTGATGGCGTAGTGGAATTGCTACGGAGAAATGTCCCAGGCTGTAAGGTGTGATTAGTCGCATATCCTCCAGATATCGTTGATCTATTTCCCAAAACGGGAAAAGGAAGGCATACTCTTGATACTTCTGGTGACAAATCTTGGCCATCTGTTTTGTAAGTCATGAAAGATTGATACACATTTTCCAGAAGGGGTATTTGGCCTTGTTTGTAAAATGAGGAAATCTTTCTCCGTAGCCAATCTTTATCAAAATCGTCTATTTGACTTTGAACCCGGCAGAACGTTTTGCGTTTTTTTCCGGGTGTAAGAATACTATTGCTTCGACTTGCCGAATTGATTCGCTTAATCATTGCTTGCGTTATTCCCAGTAACCGGGCAGATACGGCTTGTGGTTCTCCATGCAAAATATCTTGGTGTATCCTCCTCATCTGGATAGAATACCAGACATTCATTGTTCTACTCCGTCGGTGGATTTATGCATTACTTTCTCCATCCTTCGACGAGCCAAGTGTACACTTCCAATGATATTCAGTTATGGTCGTATCTGTAGTACGAGAATTACATATGCACCAAGTGCAATCGTATTTTTCCTTTTATACTGCGTGGAACCACATAGACGAGTTAATTCAATGAATTGGAAGTTTGTTGTGTCAAGTCCAATTTCATTTATTAGTATGTGGCACCTTTCGTCTGATTGATCCTCCTCGTTATCTCCATCACGGTCTACATGTCCAATAATATGTCAGTGTTTAATAATCATATTAACATTAATATTATCATTCGTTTATTCGTTTATCATTCGTTTATTATGTCGTTTATTAAATACCTATCTCGGTGTCAATATCAGTATTAGCTGGTGGAACAAATGGTGACGGAGTAGTACTTCTCGTTGGAGAAAGTGGTGACGGAGTAGCAGTTCTCGTTGGAGAAAGTGGTGATGCAGTAGCAGTTCTCGTTGGAGAAAGTGGTGACGGAGTAGTAGTTCTCGTTGGAGAAAGTGGTTGAGCACGACCACCAGAAGTAGGTGATGATTGTGAAGATGTAGTAACCACCTTAGTGGTTGGTAGTTGGTTGCGACCAGGGTTTGTGGAAATTTCTGGCCCTTCCTGTACCACGATGGGACGAGGTTTGCCTGATTCAATGGAATATTAATGGGTCTCACTTATTATCTAATGAACTAAAAATGAATTAACAAACCTTTTGGTTGACAGGATGCAAGAAGAAATATAAGCAGCCCAAACGAAAATATTCTTAAAATTTTAAACTGCACCATGGTTAAACTGGTGTTGTGGTTGACACGTAAAAGAAAACTGCAAATATGGAGCGAAATATTGCGCAGCGGTGCTTGCTACTCATCAGCAGAAGTCGAGGTCGAGGGTGAAGTGCGTCACATCAAGATGTGATGGGATTTTCTTTGCAAAATCAATAAATGGAATCCTGAGAGCAGCAATGCATTTGGTGGCAATATTTCCAGCGCATGATTTTACGTATAGCTGTGGTTTTGCATAGAATATTTGCATCCTATGATTAATTGTTTTATACATTGTAACCTATTATTTCACGCTGTATTCATTACATAAAATGTGAAGACAGGGAGGAGCATCTAACCAGTGTCGGAACATTCTTCTCATGTCCCCAGACTTATTTTATGAGTGCTGGCTAGAGGTGAGCGCGGGTTCAGGTCCAACCCTGTAAACCCGACCCGAACCCGAACCCGTTCGGGTTCGGGGTCTGGCGGGTTTCAACGATAACGGTTTCGGGTCGGTTCGGGTTTTGACAAACCCTAACAAACGGTTTCGGGTCGGTTCGGGTTTTAAAAAGAGTTTTCGGGTTCGGGCCGTAAAAACCCGAAAACCCTAAATTTGTTTAATTTGGAGGCATATACTTATGTTTGTACTTATGTCCTTATGTTGTGCTTATATTGTGTACTTATATTGCAAATACTGTATGTACATAAATATATTTGCACATTATTTAACTGCATTTGATTATTTAATTTATTTGTTTAAGAGTTATTTTATTGTAAGCTCAAACTTTTTAACAGGTTTTTGTTGGCAATTATTAACTTTTCTTCTTTGATAAAAGGTTTGAGTCTTTATTAATTATTACACGGTTTTAAATTTAGGAGTAAAACTCCAATAGGATTTATTAATGGGAAATTCATCGTTGATTTTTATCACAAATGTTAATGTCATATTAAGATTTTGACGTGTTATAATATTTACACGGTCATTACAAAATTTCGGTTTCGGGTTCGGGTCGGGTTTTACATTTTTATGATTTTCGGGTTCGGTTCGGGTTTATTACCCGCGGTTTCGGGTTGGTTCGGGTTTTTGTTTTGGAAATTTTCGGGTACGGTTCGGGTCGGGTTTTTAAAATTTAGATCCGCCCTCACCTCTAGTCCTGGCAAGTTAAAAGTGCAAAAAAATTGAGCGAAAATAAATGTGAGTAGCCTGGGGATCGAACCCACGCCGCCACGGGTGAAGAGTGGATGCGCTACCAACTGTGCCAAGCGTGCATGTTGAGAGGTAGCAACTGAAAGAGACTCTTATTCCACCACTAGCCCCCAAAAGAGGGGTAGTGGTGGGGAGAATCTGCGAACGGCAGGATTCCCAGCTCATTTAACGATTCCAACAATAGTACACAAATGTAACTTTAGAATGGCTAGATATTTTTGAAATAGTAGAAAGCTGAAATTTGGTACAGAGGATGTAAATGGGTCCTAATGGAAGAATATGAATTGAAATTGGAAAATTTTCAACCGGGGGCACCCGAAAGGGGGGCCCATACCGATTTTTCAAAATTATCCAATCTAGCTGAAATTTTATATTGAGGCTACTAAAGGCCCCTAATGGAACAATATGAAGTTAAATTGGTAGAATTTTCATATGCCGCGATCCATTTGGGTGACCCATACCCATTTTCATAACTTTTCGAAAAAAGCTGAAATTTGGAACAGTGATACCTAATGGCTTCTCATGAAATTATATGAAGTCAAACATGAACAAAAACTCACCAGTGGGGCACTAAGGGGTACCCATACCGATTTCTAAGAGTTTATATATTCAGCTAAAATTTAGTTAGGAGTCGAAAAATAACTTTGGTGCCAAGTAATACTTGACGTTAGTTAATGCAAGAGTTAGTGAAAAATAGTATAACATTCTGATAAACATGGGTTTACTAATCAGCCCTGGTTCGGGCTAAAAAAAGTTGTACTGATAGGTTTTACTTCTCGGTCGAGTTCGATAATAGGGTCAGTCGGATCACATCATACAGGGGATGTGGTAAATATTAAATTGAACTTTAATTTTCATATCTGATATCATTTTAAACGAAATTTTATCATCAACGTCGTTAATATTTTTGACCATGAGGACGATGTCAAGGTATTATCAAAAATATATAATTATAGATACGATGTAATTTTCAAGGAAATTTCAATCGTTCAGACGGTACTTTTTAGGCCTTTTAAGATGGCCTTATAGATTTACCAAGATGTCTGTCTGTCCGTCCGTCTGTGCGTCCGTCTGTGCGCACGATAACTCTCTTTAAACACAAGCTATCGACTTGAAATTTTGCACACTTCATCTTCGGGTCAAAAGTAAGGATGAGTTCGGAGATGGGTATGATCGGTCGAGTGGTTGGCCAGTGGGGGTCATTTCCACCCAAATGTGTTGCCATAAACTACCAAGATGGTATTAATGCCATCTTAAAAGGCCCCGCAAAGTTGCTTGGAGTAGGTTTTTGTGTATATTGGTTTCTAAGGGTTTATGTATAGTAAGTATTAACATTTAAAAACTACAAAATAAATTATTTTTACAAAAAAACAGTCTTAGGTGAGACGGTACGTCGCGAATAAAAAAATAAAACAAGAAGTTTATTACATCTTAGCCTGACATGCAATGGATGACATGTAGATCATTTGCATGCACAATAATAATTGTGGTGTTTCCATTATTCACATTTCCTCACCGTGGGCCCATCAGGGTAAAAATCTAGACATATTTTGGGTTACTATTAGTTTTCCCTGAGAATATTTCACGGGAATATTGGTAAATAATAGTGACAATTCGTTGCCAATTTTATGGCACATTACAAATATCTGAGTTATTTAGCCAAATTGGCAAGCTTGATATATGGGTAGGGATCATTACGACCTACGGATTCGTGATAGCTATAGAGAGTGAATGCAAAAAAAATATGCTCCTATACAAGAGAAATCATTTTAATGCTTTCAGCAAACCTCTCTAATTTATGTGAAGTTATACGCAATTTAATTCGTAAACTAACAATCAATTAATTTGCATATCTTAATATATGTATATGTATCGAATAAGTACTTTAGTCTGATAAATAATTTTATAATGATGGGCCCACGGTGAGGAAATTTGAATAATGGAAACACCACAATTATTATTGTGCATGCAAATGATCTACATGTCATCCATTGCATGTCAGGCTAAGATGTAATAAACTTCTTGTTTTATTTTTTTATTCGCGACGTACCGCCTCACCTAAGACTGTTTTTTTGTAAAAATAATTTATTCCAGGAGAGTGAGAAACAACAAGCAATCTGAAAGTGTGAAATCAACTCTAACAAATATTTATTTTGAGAAGTATATAACTTATTAAAAATGATAATAATCGCGAAATAAATATATGTTAGCTAGAGTTGATTATTATCATTCTTAACAAATTATGGCACGACGTATATACAAATTAGGTATGTGGCCACTTATCATAAATGATAACTTTTTGGGATCACTGATTTGAGATTTAGGAGGTCTTTAATTTTTCTTAACATTATCTTTTGACTTAATAATTTATAATCAGGCTTAACAATTTACATCTGCTGAATTTTCTTTTATATGTTCAGTTTTCCTCACCGTTTTTATGCCTCGATGTTTTTCTTTCAGCCAAGCCAAAAAAAATTGAAGTCATTTATTCTAACATTCACTCCAGTATATTTTTTTTCTAATAAATGGTTGGCGACTTGGTAATTTAAATGACAGCTTATGATTTAATAAACAACGCTGCTCAATTATTTACTTCCCTTGAATTGGAAGAGATTCGCTCGACTCGAGTCGGGCGGAATCATATGTAAACACCAAATGCATCAACTTTCCAATTTTTTTCTCGTCGATAATTAATTTAAATAAATATGTGATATATTTTCTGATAAATTAGACCACGAGGATTCTGAATTTCCAAAAATCGCAGATTGCCCCTTAAGTGGAGAAGGCCCGGTTTTTATTTGACGACGAATGGCAATAGCTCTTTCCTTATTTAACACAAAGTGGAGATGGCTCTTTCCTTATTTAACACAGAATGGCAATAGCTCTTTTCCATCCTTCAATGACGATATGCATGTTTGCTGAAAAGAACATCTTATACTAGCCAACGTAAGAATAAATAAGTTTCTCATGAAGGATGAAGTCGATTTAATGTATTTAATATTGTACATACCTAAGTTAGAAAAACAATACCAATTTTGAAAAGATAACCACACTAAAGTAACATAACTAAACCACTTACAAGGGAATGTCCCCGACTGCTTATCGTGTCCAGGGTACCCACTATGTTTTTTAGAGGACCCCAGATTAAGGATTCATTCATATTTTCTTGTAAAACTCATATTTGAGGTCGTGACGTGGCGCCAAATTCGTTAAATTTGAATGTTTTTATTTTTGAAACCGCCATAACTTTAGAAATCCTGGACGGATTTTCAAAATTGTTGGCAAAAATCATGACAAGGACTTTAACTTTCGTATCCCATGACATTTTTCGAAAAATTATCACTTTTAAATTTTCGTAAAATTTCGTAATTTTCTTAGGAAGGGGGGTTCGTCGAAAAAATGATAAAAATATCTAAAAAATTATAAATTTTCATTTTTGTTCTCTAAAATTTCGACTTTTGTGATCATTTTAAGCATAAAATTTTGAAAATCAGACATACATAAACTGCAAAAGTTAGGGGAATTTGAAATTGGTCGAAAATGTAAAGTTTTAAATTTGGCGCCACGCCATGGCGCCAAATATGAATCTTACACGGAAATATGAATGAATCCTTCATCTGAAGTCCTGGTAGATTCTAAAAAAACATAGTGGGTACCCTGAACACGATAAGCAGTCGGGGACCTTCTCTTGTTAGAAATATATATTTGTCCTGAGTATCTAGAACATGGTTTATGATAAGCTCTTTCTGAATATGTCCAGTTAAACAGCTACACCATTCCTTATCAACCCAACTAGTCTTGTCTCATTTATACGTCAAGAGTAAACTTATCGTATTATCGGTCACCCTTACCAAATAATTCGCAAAGTACTCCATCTTTACCCCATTCAGCGAAGTATCCACCGAACCCACAACTTCCAAGTTGACATAATTTGGCAACAGACATCTCAAAGCTCTCCGTCTATACTTGTTTTCTCCATGTTTCAACCGCATCTCGCGAAGAAACTCGTTGGACGCGGTGGACGACATCGCGGTGAAGTATATCGCAAATATTTCGATCCACACGCACACCAGGATCAGTGCGACGCAGGAAAAAACGAGGATAACAGACATCTCATTTCCCTTCGCTAACTCGGTTATCATGCTGTACAACGCGCCCGTCGATAGCACAACGAGCGTCGCGTGGTGCAGGCAGATCGCGACGAAATCCCGCGCAATTTCGGAATGCAAGATCATCACGTGGCGGAGGCAGTGATACATGTGGAGAGCCGTGTTAAACGGCAATTCTGGGCCACCACCTGGTACGATGGCCAATGTCCAGACGTACAAGCAGAGCACGCCATATCCCGAGATAAGGATGCAGGTCCCCATGGTGGCCATTAAGAAGACGCCCCCCAAAGAGGTAGGAGCTCCAGTGGTTAGAATTATCAAAATTGTGACCAAATTTGATCTTGAGACGAATCTCTCGATGTGCAAGATGCGGTCTAGAACTTTCAAAAGGGAGCGGATAGCTGTGTATACTGGGCTGACGGGGGAGAATGAGATGACCGCGAATATTAATGGTGCCATGTAGTCGACTTGGTAGAAGAAGGTGGTTATTAACTTGCTGCAGGCCTTCACCGCAGTAAGTGCGGCAGGGTTGAGATGGTAATTTTGACAGATAGCTGTAAGCAATTAATATAGTTAATTAATAGCTACTTCCGATTAATATATAAACAACTGCAAACAAATTTCGCAAGGTTTGCATCAAAAAATATCGTGGGAAAGCTTTTATCAAAACATCCTGCTTGACAATCGTGTACAGAATTTTTTGCAATTATATCTGCACGGAAACCTGACATGGCTCAACAAAACAAATCCCTCTGATCTAATCTACAGAACTCAGTGTACATATTTATCATATATTTGTGTAGTTTATTTACATATCGCTCGGTACATAAATTGAACCACCTTAAGTACCCTTACCTTCAAAATGCTTTTCCAACATTATCGTTCCCAGATATACGTTCACAAATTTTTTCGGGCCGGACGATTTCTTGAAGATCCAAACCATCGGGACGAACCCAGTCACGACAATCGTCGCTCCGTACGTGACCCCTGTCGCGGTCGGAGTCTCTTCACCAGGTGGTGACATCGCCAAGTGATAACTTCTCGTGAGAAAGGCAGGCGCCACGAAAAATATGAAAAGATGGCAAATAATTTGAAAGTTTCGATATTTCCAACCATTCCCGAGCGGGATGGCTTGATTCGTTTTGGTGTCCCACTCGAAACAGTACGCCAAACCGAAACAGCTTAGCTGAATGACACGGACAGCACGACGGAGGTGTTTAAAGGCTTCGTCGTGATACATTTTTTTGGGAAAATTTGAAATTTAAGATTATATTGGTGGGCTACATATGTAGATTTGCATATATAGTTCACTGAATAGGATTCGATTGATGAATAATTTTTCAGCCAAGGTTTTCATGTGGCCTTAAATAAGTAAGTATTTGCATATTCGGTCAAATGCATAAGTTGAGATAAATATTTGCAAAGGTTTTGTACAGTTGCAAACTTATGTACACGTGGAATTAAATTGTCGAATTAACTTACTGGTTGAGGAAAGTTTCTTTATTCTTTTGGTAGCTTTAGGAAGAACGCCCATATCCTTTTCAAAGGCATACATACTTCTATTCGTTAATTAATGTACTTTCGCTAATGTAACCCATTTCTAAGTTAACATAAAAAGTATCAATGCAAAATATTATTTGGCAGATTGGGAAGTTATTCTGGATAATTTGTTATTTCCGGCAGGAAAGTTCTAGTTCAAACTAGGCGGAAACACTTACAATGGAAACGAAAATGACCACAAATAAAATCAATCATGGCGAATTTTAAAGATTTTTTGAAATTATCCCAAATTTAGCTTTTTTCGGGAAATTCTCCCGAAACGGCAATGTTAAACTTTTTTAAATTCACTTTATTCAAAAATATATAACTTAGTTAAAAAAATGGTAGACAGGTGAACCAAAAGTCAAAATGTGCAGCATGAGTTGGGCTATGAAAACAAGCATCCTGGGTGAAATCACCCAGGAAACAAATTGCTATTGTGGTAACTGAAAAATGAGCTTTTGGTCTAAAATTGGACATTTTTCAAAAACACCAGCATGCAACCACAATCTTCTTGGTCTTCATCTAAATACACAAAATGTATTCAGAACTAAAATCTTAAGCAGTTTCAAAATAACCCAGATCAAAAAAAAATTTGTTACCAGCTTAGTCTTATAAAATTTGCATCAAAATTTGGTTTATTATAAAAAGCGTACAAATATGTAAACAGGAGTCACCATAACAATGACCAATTTATCGATCCACCAGTTACTGAGGGTTAGGCAAGATTATAGAACGTGTAGCTATTTGCCCATATATGCTAAACAATGGCGCTAATTCCAAATATTTGAAACTTTTCTGGAAGCTTGGTTCAAGCTGCGCCGTGACCCAAAAGCTCAATTTCGAAATTTTGTAAACGATTCCAAAAATGGACCCCAAAGAGCTCCATGCTGTTAAAACAGTTTGCCAAGCAATAATGACGTACAAAAAAATACTAAACCAACTCCAGCATGAAAAACCTAGCAACTTTGCGGGGCCTTTTAAGATGGCATTAATACCATCTTGGTAGTTTATGGCAACACATTTGGGTGGAAATGACCCCCACTGGCCAACCACTCGACCGATCATACCCATCTCCGAACTCATCCTTACTTTTGACCCGAAGATGAAGTGTGCAAAATTTCAAGTCGATAGCTTGTGTTTAAAGAGAGTTATCGTGTGCACAGACGGACGCACAGACGGACGGACAGACATCTTGATAAATCTATAAGGCCATCTTAAAAGGCCTAAAAATTATCATTTTTAATGGCCCAATGTCTAAATTAAACCGTAGTAACGTTAGAAGTAGCTCACCATGGAATAATAATTTGGATATGGTTTTGCACCGAAGGTGCAAAATAAGCGGACAAAATGGATACATAATTTTCATATAATGTTGCACCAATGGTACAGAATAAACGGGGGATAACGGAAATATGATATAATGTTGCACCAATGGTGCAGCCGAAATGGTTAAAATTGGGACTAAATTTTGACACGATTTCAAGGTTAAGTTATGTCAGACAAGGCTAACTAAAACTTTCAGTTAATCCTAACCATTGGTGCGGAATACATCGATTCCTCAAATTATTTCGCACCATTTTGCGTTAACAATTGTTTGATACCAATTGTGCTACAAATTAGAGTTAAAATGGCCGTGGGACTTATTAATTAGCATCAATTGATGCAAAAATATCGCTAAGAGACAGACAGACAGACGGACGGACGGACAAGAGGAAGTCAATAGCTCTCATGCTACGCAGGGTGAGCTAATAAAGGATTCAGTTGAAAAAAGGAACCAGGCTACAAATTTGATGGTGCCACACTCGTCGAAGGCATGTCCCCCGAACTGTAAGAAACCCGACGCTCGTGAGAAAAATTGATGTGGACAAGGCAATAATTTTTTTATCAATACAAAATCAACTGGCCACGAAGTCTCAGATCCCTGGACGTACACTGAACTGAATTAATCATCAAGATATGCACAACGTCAGCGAGAATCAGGAGATATGAGGTTCACACGAAACTTTTTTTCTGACCGTGCTCGGATTACCGCCCAGTACGCAGCCATTCTTTTTTTAATATTCGGAATTTAAATTATTTTGCATAAAGATAAACGTTACGTCCGGTTATGCGCCTCCAGTGATTTAATTCTGATTTGAAACTTCAGATCGACACTTTTTTCAAATGGTCATAAAATTTTTTTTATGCATTTTGCAAACTTTTAGATGAACAGTGGTTCAAAGAAAATCTGCTGTCGGCTTTAAAAGCCCGGCTTTTTGGAAATGATAACTTCATTCCTCATGAGAAAAGGATGAGGAATACGATGAAATCATTCAAAATATCCAGCAACGAATATTTCGCCCAAAAATTAATAGTTTTCGACACGTTCTATAATCTTGCCTAACCCTCAGTACTAATAAATCCATTCCATTAAATCTTTATTTCTTAAAAAATAATTATTATAGTATTTTACGTACAGATAAATACAAACAAAAATCCGTACAAATTTATTGCGTATTTTAATTTTTCCTAAAATACATCACATTCTTCATTATCTAAATAATCCTGTTCTAGTTTGACGGAAGGGTCCTCAATTTTTATAATAGATGTGGCATCATCCTCGTCGTCGTACTCAATTTTAGTTTTGACTTTACACCGTTTTCGAGCCTTTCTAATTTGTGGATGTGGCGTTTTAGGTTTTGAACACACTTTTTCAAGTTTTTGACGCGCTTGCTTTGTCTTTGGTGCACCCTTTGGGTGTATAATTTGGCCCATTTTCTTCACTCTGTTATAAGTTCTTACTATTTTGGGGACATAGGTCACCTCCTCCGAGTCAGAGTCTGGGCGGCCATCCGTTATCTTATTTCTCTTTGTCCTGTACTTCGTCACCTCGATCCTAGCCCGAGCCTCGGCTGTTTCGCCTTTTGCCATCAATTTGTGCGTTTCAGACTTCTCGTGTCGCCTGAGGTGCTCGGGCTGCCGGAAATTCATGTTGCACAGGGAACAAGGGTAATTCCGAGTACTGGCGGTGTGCTGTCTTTTCACGTGGGCTTTAAGACGCTGAAGATTTTTGAATTCTCTCGAACACTGGGAGCACTTGCTTATCACATTTTCCCTGTGCACAGCTGCCACGTGGTGACGGAGTGACCACCTTTCTTGGAATTGAGCGTCGCATTCTTTACACTTGCTGAGAGGGAGGGGCAGGTTTAAGTGCTTCTTGTGCACGTGGATCTGTGAGATAGAAGAAATTTAGGTTAAATAAATGTAAATTTAGTTTAAATTAGAAATTTATGTAATTTGTGGAACATTTTTTTAAATGTGTACTTAAAATATTTATGATTTTGTAGAAAATGGTTATTTTAAGGGATTTAAAACCTGGGTCTTTAAAAAAAGTTGGACCAGCATATATTTACATATTTCTAATTTTCACGATTACTTGTTTTGCCTGAATTAGTACCTTTAAGCTTGCGGAAGACGAATACTCTGCGTCACATTGTTCACAAAGAAATTTCTTTTCACGGCTGGCCTCTGTACTTGTAATGTGTCGCCACAGGGATAACTTATCTTTGGCAAGGTACCTACATTTCGCACACTTTAGAGGATTCTCGTCAGAATGGAAGGTTGTCACGTGTTCCTGGAAAGTTGTGTCGTCAGGGAGGGTACGTAAACCGCAAAAGTCGCAGAGCAAATCCTTCCTCGTGTGTTTGAAGGTGTGATGATTTTTAAAGTAGGCGACGGAGGAAACTACGACGGTGCATAAGGGACACTTAATTTTCCCAACGGAGGTCTGGATCACCGTTATTTCTTGTCCAAATGGTAATTCCACCGTCAGCTCGGAATCCTCGGTGGGTGACGACATTGCAGCTGAAATTTAAAACAAAATTTAGAAATTTAAATTCACGGCGTAATTTGTAAATGTTGTTCATGATTACAATTATGTCATAAATTCTCCAAAACTTACGCCTCGTTTTAATGATGACAATAAGTAATTATTAAATTATATTTGCCAGTCTACTTGTTTTTAATGGAGACAAAAAATTTAAAATATTATCAGAAGCTTTAGAGCTCCATTGGCCAAGTTATATCGATTTAGTAACGTTTAATCCATTAGTGTGAAAAAAATGAGGTAGAAATTAAAATATTTCGAATACAAATATGTATTTACCTTTCTCTAAGTTTGTGTACCAAAGCTGGATTACTATCAGAATGTCAGGCTGCAAATAATATGTAAATGATAATTGATTTCACCTTAGGGTTTGGTGTAATAAATATTTTTCAAAATTTTTCAGCCGAAAGGTAAACATTTCTCACATGTTGGTTAGGTTACATGTAGTATTTAGTTATTATATAGACTTGTGTGTAGGAGAGAATTAAGTTGCATGATTTCAACCACCGACTCGGAGAGAGTTGTGACGAGTCGTGTAACGAGCAGGTTTCAGAGGGCATTGCGTGAAGGATGAATTTCTTTTTGAGCTATGCAAAATAAGAACGCCTAGATGATCCCAGCATTGCATGGAAAATGGATCAGGCAATTATGAATTTTGAAGTTGCAAACATTTTTATAATCGGGTCTCGTATAATACATACATAAATAAATATTTCTTTAAATTAGGTATGAAATTTTAACTGATTCATGAAAAATATGTCGCAAATTTCCACGAGGGCCAATTTTGTCTCCAGAAAGTAAACTATAAAATTTGGCATAGAAATCTCATTAACTGAAGATTTTGATCCATTAGTATTCCACTTTTTATTGGCAAAATTGTTTTTACGGTTTTTCCACTATGGACACATACGTTTTTTAACATTATTTAGCAGATATGTACATATGCGACGTGGATATGCGTAAAAGCCTTATACATACATTAATTTTGCGAAGAAATGTCTAAAATCACTCTTAGAAATAATGTTATTCTTTGGAAAAGCAAATGCAAAGCAATGCATTTAAATATATGCATTCGCCTTTATCAATTAAGCTCTGTATTAATACGTAGAGTTAACGTTGTACTGGATTTGGCATGTAGAGTTTGAACCATAATCTCCATTTACATTTGTGCATTTGTAAAGATTAACATCACTTTTGAGAATGTACATACATACATATGTTATGCAGTTAGTTAAATTGCTAATACATACATAAATATTTTTTTAAAAAAGTGTTAAAATACATTTCATGAATCCCTTAAATCGACACACAAGTAGCAGATTGTCCATAATCATGGTAGATATGTAAGACCGGTTGCTCCTGTGTAATTAAGTAGGCGAAAGATTGCAAACTTTGGGCGATATTATTTTCATTATTGGGGAAAATTGTATGGTATTGATATCGTAAAAATATTGTATTTGCATGTTGTTCTTACATATATTTTCTACGCTTGATTATAAAAGAGATCATTGACTAAAATAAATATTTATTATTACGTTCGCAAATTTTATATAAGTGCATGCAAAACTTATCTTGTCAGCCAGAAATACAAATTCGTCAGCTCGTTAAATAAAACCATGATAACCTTTTAATAACTACAGATTTCCCCGTCAATCCAGCATGCCAGTGGGTTCGAATTTTCGATAATCTATTACTTTATCTGACACGATTTAATTATGCATACGTGGAAATTCCATCATATCCAAACCCACTTGAATGCACAGGTGCGACGCATGATAGTCGTCAGAAAAAAGTGAATCTGGAGCACTCAATCGGATATAAAAGACCAAATTTCTCACATTCATACTGCATTTTGCGTTTTATTTAAATTAAGCTTACACAATTATGAAGCTGCTGCTCATTTTTGCTACCACGTTGACCGTGGTTCTATCCGGTACGGTTGACCCTTCCCTGAAAAAAGCTGTCGATCTTGGCCTTAATACCGTCGCGATTCTCGAACTACCCCAAATTGTGGGGCAACTGGAGACCAACCAAGCCCTTCAAACGCTCTTCGGTGACGCCAAGGTTGCCACCCTGGTCGCCACTTTGAAAGGACTCACGTCCGCTGCGCAGGCGCCGTTCGTCTCAATCGCGGCGTCTCTTGGGCTTGAAATTGAGCAATATTGGATTTCCAATGTCATTCTGGTTAAGGGATTGACACTCGAAAAATTAGACACATTGTCCAAAACTCCGGGTGAGTTTATCCTCCGGAAACAACATATCGTCACCCTTGACCATATCCGGTCTGGACGTGAGGAGGTTGCGAACAATTTTACGGTACGGAATCCACAATGGGGAGTGGCTAAAATAAGGGCACCGGAAGCATGGAGTCTCACCACAGGGGAAAATGCGGTGGTTGGATTTATCGACACGGGTGTCAATATTGGCCACGTCGCGTTGTCTGATGGCTTCGCGGGTGCGTGGATGGACCCGTATTACAATACGCTCGTACCAACGGATGTGCAAGGTCACGGGTAAGTACATATGATTGGAACTGATCTAATTCATTACAATTTTGCGCGATGAATAAGTTAAATATCAAAATTATTGAATGCATTAACATCTAATGTATATATATTTATTCAAATCGTACTAAGCAACAATGAAGGAATAATTATATTCATTACTAATTTATTACTAATTTGTTTTGTTACTATGTTTGATACAAAAAATGAAGAATGAGCAAGTATTCATATCTTTTCAATTTTGAATTACTGAATGATCAATGAGAAATTCCCGTGTTTGAATGAAGAAATATTTCATTAACAGGTAAGACAATAATAGTCTGATTTCTCATTTCTCCTATGAAAACGTTTTTGGTCAAATTAAGAAAATTGTAAGGATAAAACACGCTTGGCGAATTTGATACACTTAGGATTCCATTGATCTCCAAAGTTGCGATAATTTTGCACGAAATTTGGCCCATTATATGAATCATTTTCATTTTAATGGCAGCTCCTTTGTCGCTGGAATTGTTGTTGGGCGTGCAAACGGGATAGGTGTCGCACCCGGCGCGCAATACATCGCCTGTCGCGGAATGAATAATCAGGGGTCCGGAACTGAGGCGGCTTTAATTCAGTGCGCCGAATTCATGGTCACGGCCACTCCTCGTCCCCAAGTTGTCCCAAATGCGTGGGGTGGTGTGCCTGGAGCCTGGTTTGAGCCAATCATTTCTGCCTGGCGAAGCGCGGGAATCATTCCTCTCTTCGCAATTGGTAATTCTGGGCCTAACTGTGGAACCATTTCGGCTCCAGGAAGCCACGGCGGCGTTATCGGCGTTGCGGCCACCTCTGACACGGATGCGGTTGCAACTTTTTCCTCGCGTGGACCAGGCGCTGGAGGTGTACTTAAGCCAGACTTTGCCGCGCCAGGTGCAAATATTTTATCGGCTGGGACCGGAGCAAGTAACTATGTGACCATGTCGGGAAATGGAGCGGTACGGACTTGTTTCTATAATCTGTGATTTTGCATGAATTGACGTGATAATATAATAGGGAGATTGCGAATTAAGGTTTACACACTAAACTGTCACGAAAATGGTACACGTCTCATTTATGCTAATGATAAATTTAACGTTCCCAAGAAAATCTAAGGTACAAACGTTAATTCGCAATCTCCTAATTAAAATTTTTTCCCTGAATGTTCCAGCAAACGCTAAATTAGCATAAGCGTAGAGGATTTAGTGAAGAAACCCTTAATTCTCAATCACCTTAATTTCAGGGTCCACACACCGCAGGTGCGATAGCCTTAATTGTCTCCCTCCATCCAGACTGGGGCTATGACGAAGTGTACAACGCGTTAGCGACAAGTGCTGCACAGCCACCACTTTCAGATAATGATCGAGCTTGTGGACTCCCTACGCCGGGAGTTGACTATCCCAATTACGTATATGGTGAGATACTTGAGAGACTTACTGCTCAGCTAGTATTAATAGTTTCCAGGGTTGGGCAAAATACATGAGTTTCAAAATACAAAATACAAAATGAAAATACATTAGTGTGAACCTTCAAAATACAATTACAAACTACAAAATACTCGAATCTCATCAAAATACAAAATACTTTTGCCCAAAATCGTCGAAACCTAAAAATACAAAATACAAAATACAAAATACGTATTTAAAATAGATTTCAAAATACAAAATACAAATGCCAGATTTGACCCTCAAAATTCAAGTCAAGCTCAAATTTCAAAAGTTTTGCTAACTTATTTTATTTCGCAGCGGTATTTAGAATTTAGTAATTATGTTTCTTATATCACGGGAGGTCATATCTTATCTAAAAAATGATATGAAGATGATAAGCCCGCTTTATTTTCAATCTAACTAATTTTTATCTTTCTCGCACTACAGTGTCCATAATGAAGTAAAAATAAGTTTTAATAACCATCCTAACACTTGAGAGAAATTTGAAAATAAACAAATTAATCATCTGCATAAATATAAAATATTATATGTAGTTTTCTGGCACAGCCATGAGTCCAAAAACTGAAATAATCCTGTATAGCTGAAACCTTAAATATTAGAAATGGTTTGCAATAGATATACATATATGTATTGCATGGACCAACTCTTGTTCTTCTCATGAGTTCGTCTCATATTTGCCAAATGTATTTTGTAAAGTATTTTTGTATTTAAAATACATTGACTGACCGAAAAATTAGAAAATACAAAATACAAACTACCCGGCTAGCTTCAAAATAAAAAATACAAAATACGTTGATCTGAACCATGGGCCTCAAAATACAAAATACAAAATTGTATTTTGTATTTTGTATTTCAAATAGTATTCTGGCCAACCCTGATAGTTTCAATTTCTTGGAAATTTTTCTGAGAGGTTATTTGGTTTTTGGAAAATAATGTAATCTATCTGCCAGGAAACCTTTCAGATTTTTTCCAGACTATTAATTTCGGCTGAACAGTAGGTTATTATGAACTGGCGTTGAATGCTTTAATCAAAAGAATCAATTAATAATTTTAGGTCACGGTCGTATCGACGTTGCAGCTGCTCTTGGACTTTAATGGAGTACAATTTCATTCCTACTGTAGCATAGTTTATCATTTGAATAAATTACAAGCAATCGAAGATATTTAATTATGTTTGGGAGTCATAATTAATGTTATCCTGCATCCATCGATTCTATTCATCCTGCAAGGTGCGAATAATCGGGAAGGATGTTAAAGAATGACAAGTGGTTGAATAGGCGAGTTGGCATCTTGGCCAATTTTACACTCTTCTAAAAGAGGTGTTAAATTATCATTATTGCTCAGAGTAAAGCTGGATTTCCACTGCCGTGAGTCGTTCGCGACCTACGACGGAAAGTGTCCGACGATGGCATTTCAACCAAAGCAGAACAAAATCCGCTCGACGCGGCGGAGAGTGAGCTGAGTTGAGCGGATTTTTGCCTCCCAGTTCCACCAACCGACTCATCTCAGCGGATACGATCCGCGCGGACGAAAAAACTTTGAGTCGATGAGTTGATCTTGGTTCAACTTTTTTTCGTCCGCTCGCCAAAATCTATGACAAATTCTCATTTCCTGGAGCGGAATATATAAAATCACATAAAATCACTTCTTATTATTCACATTCCGCTAACATCAATTATTTCATAAAATTAGAATATTCTAAAGAAATATAAAATGTCGAGTGACAGTGAGGAGGATGGAGGGAGTTTGAACATCAACGAGGATGGGAATCAATTTCATGTAATGGGGGAGGAAATACTGGGCGCCCAGGAGGAGAATAGTTGGAGAAATGAAGACATCGGATTACTTATAGATACAGTGAGATCAAATTAAATTTTGTTCGATGCAAAATCAAAGGATAATAAACACAGTGGCAAAAAGGAACTTGTGTGGTTAAATGTTTCCAGCACTGTAGGGAAGGATGGTAAGCTGTATAAATAATATTTAGTATGACTCTGTAGCGCCACGTAATAATTTATCTCTGTAATTATTTGTTTTCGTAGTTCCTGAGTGCAAGAAGAAGTGGAAATATCTACGGGATAATTTCAATAAAGTCATTAAAAAGAAGAATGGCAAGTCAGGCAAGTCCGAAAAGAATGAAAAACAATGGGAGTATTTCGAAATGCTGAACTTTTTAAAGCGGTTTGTAATTGCCAATACTGAGTATGTTTATCATTGACTAAATATATATTCATTAATTTTACTAACTAATTTTTATTGCGTCGGCTTCGTAGGTCTTCCGGAAATTTGGAAAAAACTCCGGCGCCGGATGAGACGACTAATAGACGTGACTGACATCATTCCCGGGGCCCGGATTTAGATGAGGATGACCCCATCAAGCCCGAGACCATATCGAAAAAGATGAAGATGTCAGAAAAAGTTGATGCAGCATTATTGGGATATCTAGAAAACCAGAATATCAAAGACTCGAACCACCATTTCTGTATGGCTCTGGCGGCTCATCAGCTCATCACTGGACAAACGCCTTCGGCTCGGATGTCTCTGGCACTAGCGCGTACAGGATCCGCTACTAACACGTGAACGCGGTCACTCTTGAATTGCTCCAAAACGGGTTGGGGTTTCGGTTCCAAATTTGGAGCATAGCGACATGTGATTATTGACAAGGGCTGAGCAAAAAATTAGCTCTCTAGATTCAAAAATGACCCTACCATTGACCTTAGAGTAAGAGGGTACCATAAAAACACTTTCCAAACTTAATTTTTCGTACACAGATATAATTAACCACTTCAAAATTCAAGGACAACAAGTTTCGAAAACAAGGATACATAAGGTACTGATAAATGAAGGTCAACAACGACAAGCTCGTACCAAAGGACAACCATCATGCCTCAAACCCGAGTCCGAAAAGTGCTAATTCGGCCCGTGCTTAAGAAAATTGACCTATTGACCTCTAAGGGCAACTCACCACCCCAGAGAGCAGTGGCACGTCTAACCAAAGTGTCATAGATTAGTGTGCGACGAGCAATTAAAATTTTGCAGAAGCAAAAAAGAAGAAAAATCCGAGTCCATCAGCTGACTGAGAAGCATAAACAAAATCGTCGTCTGACCTGGAAAAAATTTTATATAAATTACCTGACAAAAGATAAAAGTGACTTTTTAGTGTCGTTGGATGAAGAATTATTTTCTTTAAAGATACCAACGGTCATAGAAAAATTTACTATACAACCAAAGAAGAAAATAATTCCAGAAGATTGACCATCCCGCACACGGAAAACTTTTGCAACAAGTTCATGGTGGTTGGTGCATTATCTGGTCGTGGTGTCCTACCACTTATCAAAGTTCCACAAAAAGTGAAGGTAACTACGAAGTACTTCATTGACTTTGTCTTAAAACCGCTTTTGGAGATTCATGTCCCAAAACCATATGGCAAGGACACAAAAAAAGTGATAGTTCATCACGACGCAGCGTCATCACACACCGCCCTTTTGACCCAGGATTACGCCAAGGACCTGAAAGCTAGACTCGGGATAACAATCATCCAAAATAGTGAAATGCCTGTTAAGTCACTCTATGTAAGTCCTATGGATTTATTCGGCTTTGGATATCTGAAACAAAATCTTTTCTCCGCCACCCAAAAACTTTTGACGGAGTTTGGAAAGTTATGGGAGACGAGTGGTCTAAAGTTGACTTCGCCATGGTCAAATCAGTGTACCGAAGTTGAAATCGCCGATGCCGACTTGTAGCTCGAAAAAAGGGCTTTCACATAAAAAATGTTCGGGACCTAAACTCCAAGCCGTTCAACCAGTAATTGAAGGTCAAAAACGTTCACGTGTTAGTGGCCGAGGCTCCGTATGTACTTTCATAAAACCTACAACAAAATTATTCCTCTCCTAATTTGCACCACTTGAACAAATAGTGATATAATAATGTCAATTTCCTTGCCTAGGAAAATACATCGGATAGTATCGTGCACTGCTCTATGAAACAATGCAAAAAATGGATGTACAAAACACTAGAGAAAGCATTAGAAATTCTTAAACGGAATTACTCGGCTCATTCCAAAGAACTTGCCAAGCGCGACATTGAACCAGTTTTGTGGGAGGAAAGTGATGCGATGGGAGTGGAGGCTCGCCAGCGTTTGGGATTCTTTACACATATTTCTCAGAAGCGGACCGAAGTGCTGGAACGGGGATTTATATTTCCGGATCTGCTCAAAGAAATGCAACTCCGAATGCCCAATGGGTTGAAAACACCACCAACACAACTCATTTGGCCTCTGGAACAGTGTGTTGAGCTGGATCTCAACTGGAGTCGGTCCAAGCGTTTCAAAATCGTGGACCTGGAGCCAGAAGCTAGGGGTGAGCGACTTGCAGAGCTCAAACGACAGATTCTCCCAGTCCCAGTGTTTCCAAACGGCGCCGTCGATTTGATGGAAACGAATCGAGGTCTTGAAGAACAAATTAAAGAACTGAATAAAAAATTGGACGCCCTGGAAGTTGGTGGAGGTGGCAGTAGAATTTCCAGAAACAAGAAGTTTGACGACTCCACCTGCTTTAATTGCGAAAGTGCTTCACATTTTACAAATGAATGCAAACTTCAATGTTTTATTAGGTAAGGTATTGTAACCTCTCTTTTTCATAAATGTGAAGATAATCAGGAATTTTTGTCTTTTTATATCAAATCATGATAAGACAACCCACGGGAAATTTGAACCTCTAGGAAGACATTCCTTTCAAATGCGACTACCCGGGCGCCCGGCAGCAGAGGTGGTATCTTTTTATGAAGAATTGTTGAAGGTCAAGCTGAGTCGAGAAGAAGTCCAACTTGCCTTTGCTTTCTACTTCTTTGATGAAGGTTGCTGGAATTGTGCACATCCCTTTCATCACCTCCCAGATTGTGGTAAAAATTTGAACAAGGCCCTTCATGATATAGCTAAACGGATGCACGAAATAAATCATCCCCTGACGGACGAAGCTCGAAAGAAGAAGCTTGAAAGGAAATTTCTGTACCAGAAACCGGGGCGTCCCAACTAAAATAATAAAATTTAATACAAATTCTCTAATTAATTCTCAGTTAATTAATTATTTGACCACCTATTTACAAGTATTATATATTAAAATTTGAACATACATAGTAAATATTTGATTACGTGCTCGAATTAAATTATTTCATTCATTACACAGTTGAATTCACTTGTCTGGTTAAGTTTTTAAATATATGCCTGCATCATTCCCTAAAATCTGTTTTGGTTTGCGATTAATTTTATAAACGAAGGAGCATTTCCACCCGTCCGCTCTACGCTGCGGATTGTTTCACAGCAAATCGTCCGCTTCCGTTAGCGGATGATCTGCCCAAGGTATCGCATTGGTGGAAATGGACTTGGAGCGGAAAATGTAGGTGGACGCTGTCGGATACTTTCCGTCGTTGGTCGCTCACGACTCACGGCAGTGGAAATCCAGCTTAAGTAAATACTATGACTTAACTGGCATTCGTTACCCGGTAATAGTAATGATTTCCATTCGGTGATGTTGCTGGTAATGAGGAGTTTACAACACAGAAACGAAACAAATTACTGCCAATCATGTCGAAAATTCCTGTCAAGTAAATACCAATATTGCACTCATTTCATGGTCGTTACCCGATTTTTAATTTCAAACGCCAGCGTAATTAAGAGTTTGGGATATTTATGTATATGCAAACAGGTTGTTTCCTGACCGACATATATTTTGTGCATCGACGAGTTTAGACCCAATTTAACAACTTCAATTAATTCATATTTTACATAAGTAGGTACATATGTGGTACATTTTCAAATTATGTGCTGGCAACTAGTTTTTGAAGAAATTGGATTTTCGAAGCACTAATTACTAAGCCAAATAACAAGTGACTATGTAAATACGTAAAGATGAAAGGTTATTTTTAATCCACCAGCCTTTTAATTGAAATCACATTGCGAAATATATTGAAATCGCATAACTCGAATTTCCATTGGTTTATTTCGATTTAAAAATTTTAGAATTGAAATCTGACAGACCTTTTAAAACCAAACATTAAAAAAATACCTTTAGAAATTTAAGGAAAACATCATTCATTAAGTTGAAATCTTTCGTAAATAACTTTTGCAATAAGCAGTGCCCCTTCTTACTTTTTACAGGACCTTGTTCCATGTCGATGCATAGATATTTAATTTAAAGTACAAACTTAATCAGAGAGAACAAGCCATTTTCAAAAAAAATAAACCGCACGGTAAAAGTTGTATTGTGTATATAGGTGTACCAATGGGACGTTTATATTATTGTTAAATACATCCAGATTCGAAATTTATATTTACAATTTTCTGCACACACGAAATTATGTACTTAAACGCAAATAAATAATTTTCTTAAATAAACTACAGCAAATAGTTTCCACTAATAATTTTTGGACATTGGGTTAGGTTAGGTTAGGTTACGTGTTACGAAATGACGTCTTCTCTACATAATGTCGACAATATGCTTTTTATCAATGTTAATAATGCTAATCAATCCCGGATTTTAGGAGTAAAGTAGACTCATCTAAATAAACATGGAGATACGTCACCTATTCGGAAAACAGACCTTCCGAGAATTAAACTTCATTAGATTATGTAAGAATGGATTACGCAACGAAACACCTGATCAAATTAGCATAACTTGAATGAATTATGTATACGACCCAAACAAAAAATAGATACTACGCAGATTGAATCGCATCACTGATTAAATTTAAAAATTATAAAGCGACTAAAATTGGTATAAATTGAATGTCTGAAGTATGAATATGTACCTAACGAACCAGAAATTTGCAGCGCCTGGAACCCAAAATGAGAAGATTCGTGTACTCCGTCTACGTCCTCGTGTACTTGGGCAACATTGCGGCAGGCCAGGTTCTCAAGGAATCTGACCCAACGTTGTTGGGTAAGCACGTTAGTTACATAAATACTTACTAAAACACTAAATTACAAATTATTTCCACATAAGTGAGGAGTATCGAGACAAAATGTCATATTTGCCAATTTGTCCGTAATATTTGTCATAAATGCCGTAAGTACTGTAAATATTATAATCGTGACAAATTGGACGGTCAAGTTGACGAATATGACGTTTATGACATATATTCGCTTGAGACGGACAAGCTCATTATTATAGGGTGAAACCCTATTATGGATGTGCCTTGTCCGTCTGTCTGTCCGTTCGTGCTCTAACTATTGAACGGATTCGAATTTCGATATGCGGTTTTCGCCATCGTGTTTCTAATTTTAAAAGTACGGACAAGTTCGAAGATGGGCATTGTAGGTCGTAAGGTCACGTCGCCACGGCGACGACGCCAACGTTCAAAGATGTCGAAATTTGTCGTTTCGACCGTTTTAGACGTATTTTTGGGCGGGGATTTCAAAAATCGACATGGTTTTGACGTGCGATGACCGTGTGACCGTGTAGACGGACAAAAAATGTCGAATTTTGTCTTTTCAAACGTTCTAGACGTATTTTGGGGCGGGGATTTCAAAAATCGACATGGTTTTGACGTACGATGACCGTGGGGATGGTATTTACGTAAAATATTTCTCTTGATAAAAAAGATTCCACATGTAGGCGACTTCAACATAAAAGTGGTGGAAACATTAAATTCTCCAGTCGGTTACTCATTTTGCCCCACCGAGATTATATATACCGGGATAAAGAATACGGGGCTAATTGAGAAATTAATTTCAGCAGAGAAGTACAGTGTACCCTCATATGTAATGATTTATAGTCCGAAAGTTAATATTAATTAAAAAGTATGTGCAATTTTATATTCAATTTTTTTAATTTTGAGCAAAAAGTTATCTCATGTGGTTTCACCCTATTGCTACATTTCGTTTGCAACGGTTTATTTAAAAATGAAGATTTTTTCAGGTTTTGAAGATCTTATTACTGTAAATTATTTGAACGAATCTGAACTTTCCGGAGAATGTACATAGATACATAACTGTATCGGGTATTTTTTTTCCTTCCTGTACACAGGGAACTATAATGTCGATCCTGATTCCATCTCCGTATCCGGATTTGCTTCCGGTGGATCGTTCGCTACACAGTTTCACTTCAGCTACTCAAGTCTAATCAAAGGAGCAGGAATTTTTGCGGCATTTATAAAACCACCCCCACCCCCACCCAAATCCACCCCCACCCCCACCTAAATCCACCCCCACCCCCATCAAATCCACCCCCACCCCCGCCAAATTTACTGCAAATGGTTGGCAACTTTGCATCTTCCCATAAAATTGACGAGGTCACGAATCTCAATGGTTCCAAGGTGTATGTGCTTGGTGGGACGAGGCATATCGTCGTTAATCAAGGTTCACTGAGACTTTTAAGTGGGATGTACAAACATTACGGGGCTAATGTCCTGGAACAGTTTAGCATTCCAGTCGGGCACGGAATCGTAAGTATTGGTAACCAATGTAGGTACAGGGTGATTTAAATATCACGCTACAATGAAAAATTTTTCAATTGGAAAAATCCATAAATCTCCATTTGTTATAAGGTTTTTGGTTGAGATTTTTATAAATTTATTATAACTGATGGAACACGAAATTCTCGAAGTGTTGAATTTTAGAGACAAAATTTCGGTAACTAATTGAAATTTATGAATTTTTCCCATCGAAAATTTTCCATTATGTATGTACAAACCAAGATATACCCTTATGTTATTCGTGGGATACATATGGCTAAGTACGTGACCAAATGGGACGGCACATGTTATCTTGTATCCGGAGCTGTGTGGCTGGGTATTGTTGGGTGTAAAATGAATTCAATTAAACAAATTTCCGACACGTAGTTTAACATATACGTTTTGCGTTTTTAAGTTTTATATCCCAGCCCGCAAGTTTTAGGCTAGAGCTTTATCGACTTCCCAGGTTTTGTCCATTGTTGTAATATTGTAAGGATACAAGTATGGGCATATCTTCGTTGTGCATCTACGATTATACGATTATCGACAACATATTAAAATCATATCTATTTATATAAATTACCTGGTAAACTTGTATGTAACTAATAATTTACAGCCGGTCAATAACGGCCGTGGAGCTGCGTGCACCCCAGTAGCGCCTTGGTCCACCGGATATTTAAACGAATGTGGGGTGAACAGTGTTTTCCAAATGCTCAACTGGCTATATGGTGGTACCTTGGTGACCCCAAGAGCCGGAATTCAGATGACAGGGAGACTCATACCTTTCCCACAATCTGATTTCATAAACGGGTCAAGTACTGAAATTACTAAAGCATAGGGGGGAAATGGGCACATCTACGTCCCTCTTGCTTGTCAACCTGAAAACAGGGTCCGATGTCGATTGCACGTTGTATTTCGCGAATGTTCTGCTGGCCCTGACCCTCTCAAGTATTCTGAAGAAGAGCAAAAATTAATTGTACAATACGCCGAAGTAGCCGACTTAAACAATATTATCATGTTGCATCCAGCATTGGAATTAATACCTGTACCTACTTCTATGGCCAAAATTTACGACTTGATTTCATTATCATCCGAAAACCGTTTTCCCCTGATGTTTTTCTTTAAGTTTCGAAACGAATAATAATCACTAAGGGACAAGTCTGGACTGCACGGGGCGTGGTTTGTGCAGGTAAAGCGATTTTCGTCTGCACTAACCCTCGCAAAATGCCAGGTATTAGGTGGCGCGTTGTCGTCTAAAAAAAGGCCAACTCTTTATTTTGACCCCACGTTTCTTTTCAACCGGAGGACGCAGCTCCTTCAGGGTTCCTGCATACACGGCCCCATTTATTGCAGTATTTCCAGCAATAAATTTTATAAGGAGGGGACCTTTGGTATCCTTGAAAATGGTCATCATCAAATTTTTTGTCAGATTTTTGCACTTTTCAATTCACGGGCGGTGGCAACCCCTCGTGCTTCCAATGAGGGAATTATTATTTGGTCACCGGGTCATAATAGTAAACCCAAGTACCATATGCAGCCAATAAAATATTGAGCAGGTTCCAGTTTTCATTTAATAGGTTAAAATTTGCATTGCAAAAGTCGACTCGATCCTGTTTGTGAGATGCCGAAAGCAATTTTGGTACCCAACGGACGGAAACCATTTTCATACCTAAGTCTTCAGTTAACATGGAACAAATTGCTGGTTTTGGAACACCCATCTCATCTGCTATATAGGCCAGTTTCAATCGCGGATCTCTCATTATTGGTTCCTCTAGTTTCCGGAGCCTTTCTGTGGAAGAAGCGGATTTTGAGCATCCTTGCGACTTTTTGCCCGAGACCTCGTTTCGCCATAATTAAAAATTATTGACCCAATTGAATTTGTGTTTCGTGTTGGGCAGTTTTCATTGTACATTTTAAGCATTCAACCATAAATCTGCGACACGTATTGCCTATCCAGCATTAAAAATTAAATCACACTACGATATTTAATTTGCAAATCTAGCATTTTTTCCGTCGAGGTAAAGTTTGCCGATTTATTGCTAGTGTTGACGTTAACCTTAAGAACTGAAAAAAATCACAGCCTCCTAAATGTATTTGAAGTTTGTTATTTCATCACAATTTTCGTCAGAAACAGTGCGGAACATACCTTTTGAAAATTAATAATAAAACACCTACGTATGTACCTACGAATTTAGACCCAATTGGTATACGAACGTGGTAGATTTTCAAATTAAGTGACGGTAACTAAATAGCTTTTTGAAGAAATTGGATTTTTCGATCATTAATTACTAAGCCAAATGGCAAGTGGCTGTATGCAGAGATGAATATCTGCATACGTGTAAGTACCAAACAAGACTATTTTTAGTAATTCCGCAGTTTGGCCAACTTGTCGAAAGAAGTTGTCATAAATATTTCAGCCGGTGAAGAAAACATATTAAGAAATTTTATTAATGGATCTAGAAAAACAAGGATAATTTTAACATTTTAGAATTGCGAATATTTCCATACAAATTATTTAGTTTAGAAATATTGATTGGCAAGTAATTCAGCTTTTGTTTGGTTAATGAGTAAATCCTTCTCTCAACGAAATTTATTATTAATTTTTAATCCAATACTAGTTTTTGGTGTGGCTTTAGAAATTAGCCTTCCATCTTGACAAATGCGGAATTTGAATATTCTGAATTATTAAAAATGTTGTTTTTTCTCGAACATTGAGAAAATAATTGTTTGCCTCGATGAGCAGTTAAGTACTGTATTTTATTTCATATGTAAATATGTAGTTTATCTCATAATTTCCAAATATGTAGGAGAAGGATTTCGCTTTCTAACTTACATATTGATTTTGAATAATTTAGCTAAAAAACAACCTTTTTCAAGCTACATATGTACATCAGGATTTTCTGGTGAGTGCAAAAAGTAAACCGAAAATTTCCATATATGTAATTCCTAATTTTTGGCTTAATTTTTTTACGTTTTTTTACCAGAAAGTTTCCATTGTGGGTTCCAAATTCACATTGTTTCAAGATATGTATGTAAATTTGTATGCAGAATTGTATTGGAGTCATCCTTATGTATCTAATTGTACAAACAATACATAATTTAGGTCGACACAAATCCAATAAATGAATAATTAAGTAAATAATGTCTGTAGTTAGACACAAACTTCTGTGGGCGATGTTGACTTCATTGGCCGGATGTTTGTGAATGATAAGACATGAGATTCTTTCCAGGAAATGTTGGAGTCATTCACTAAATCAGATGCAAATTTTGACAAGGTGTATAAACGTAAAAGATATGAAAATCTACATAGTTAGAGCTTATGATACCTGACATGCATCCGGTATAATTAGACTTTAATTTACAACCTGCTTCTCTGCACTGGATATTTATGAGTTCATAAATAAAGTGATTTCAACGATCTAAAATTAAATGTGTGCTTTATAAAAGTAAACTTTATATCGAGGCAGAATGCTCACAATGGTTTCTTCATTCCACCCGCCCGCATACATTTAATTAATTACAATTATAATTAAAAATGAGTCTAACTTCCATCCAAAATTTAATTCAGCTTCAATTAAAATTGATCTCTGTAATGATCGAACCGCCAATTTATATCAAAATTAAACCATCAAAAACTACGGTTACCACGGTAAAATTAAGTCTCGCAACAAAAGCCAAACTCCTGGTTCTGGTGACATACGCAATATTTATTTTGTTGAATAGCTTCTGGCAAATAAAGAAATTACCGAAAAACACAGATCCAACAGTTTTAGCGATTATTGGACTCTTTTCGTCCGGAATTTTTATAGGAATTCATATGTTGGTGAATACTTTATTTTTAAAAAGTGACGATGTGGCTGCCCAGTTAAATTTAATTCTTAACTATGAGCAGCAAAATTTGTGCAAAAAATTTGTCAGTGGAAATATTCAAAAATTATTTAAAGGGATCGTGTTCCTGTTGGGGAGAGGATTTCCGATCTTTGCTCCGATAGCGATAGGATTAATAAATGTGATGGAATTATACATGCCACCCTTCATCGGGTCGGTTCTTCCCGAAATTCGGATGGACGGGTGGGAAAATATTGGTGAAACGGTGCTTACCTGTGGGGCGCACTTTGTAGCAATTTTGATCCAGGCTTGGATGGTTTATATAATATCGGGGACCGTGATGATGCTGATATTTCATTTCCTGGTCGGATCAGTGTTCAGTTTGTGGGGGAGTTTGAATCAACTTACAAGGTTTGGTGATTTAACTATTTTGTCTGAATAAGTCTGTTATCATGGATTAGTTTAAATAAATGGCTCGTTCAATTAGTAATATTTTTCTTACCTTGTCGGTAATAACTCAAAAAATGTGACTAACTTACGTGCGTCCTTACGTAAGCATAAAGTTGTTATCGCATTAGTTGCAGTGGCCTAGTCAGGCTGGTTCCTCTCAGATCTTCCCTGCCTGTCAAATTCCACATCTATATTATAAGCTGGAAATGTTTGTCTCCAACGGAAGTGAAAGCAATTTTCCGTGACGGAAACTGAAGTGGAGAGACTTTCACTTCCCTTGCCAACAGACTTTTCCGCTTCAAATATAGATACAATAACAAAAAATTCGGTGGAATTATGAACAATCCTACTTAATTTTCATCAAAATCAAATCAGCCCGTCGCCAGGAAGGAGACGGGCTTATACGCTAGTATCCAATAATTGCGAAATTTTGTGCGTTAAAATTGGACCCTATTTTGTATGGGTTTCTTATCAAGCATCGCATCTTACTGTAAAGTACCGACTATAAGAATTGTTAATTCAAAAGTCAGGTGCGTTCGCAAAAAAGAACCACCGAGTCTTTTAAGATAAACATATTTAAACAACCCTTCTTATTCTTGAGTTAAAAATATTGCTGTTTTTTTTTGCAAATCGGCCCGAGTTTTGCATTAAAAGTCATTTGTATTTAATACATGGGAATGTATGCATTATTAAGTATGCATGCGGGTGGAATAGGACATGGTAAGAAAAACCGGAAGTAACACGCATTCCATAGATATATACCAACTCTCAGAATATTGTGGTTAGTTTATTTTTGAAAATGGTTGTTGTGTAAATTTGATTCTCTCAATTTCAGTTTGACGAAGAAGGAGGGTTCCAAACTTCTTCGAAAGTCAGTCATCCTCCACCAATTGAGACATTTCCGGCAATTGAAGATAATCGAGGCCCAAATAAATTTCACGATGAGCACAACGTTCCTTCCCTCCGTTCTTGTCTCATTCTGCTTTGCAAATATCATGTCGACTTTTCTCTCTGTGTCGTACTTCCGGAAGGGAAGGCTGTTCGATAATTTGGGTAATTTCATCTTTCTACTGATCAGTTGGCAAACCAACATTGGAATCATGTGCTTCGGAACGATGCCCGGATTGTTGAATAAAAATTCGATAAAATTCCTCGGAAGTTTTGGAAGAAGAGAATTCAAAAATGAGAATCTTGGAGTTTCGTTGAAGAAAGATGTAAAGGCCTGTGGTCAAATGAGGATCAAATTTGGGAATAATTTCGTGGGGATTTTAACCCCTTTGGTAATGATTAGTTTGTGCGTCAAGTTGACAGTTAAGCTGCTATTAGTAGCACAGTAGTGGTACGAAATTAAGTTACATTACTACTACTAGCGGAACTTTTTTTAAATGCCACACCAGGAATTAAATATATTTTAAAAAATCAAGCCACCTGAGAGTTAATTCTTGCCTTTATCTTTTTATCTATTGCTCACTAGACAATGCAGGTACATATTTAGCTTGAAAAAAGATTCCCTTGTAAAATGTATGATTTACATGTGTGCTAAATAAAATTACGTTTCTCCAATTCATGCAAGTTTCCCAATCCATGGGGTATAGTGCTCATGAGTCATGACAAAATATAATTGGGCTGGGCAACCTATGGAATCGACATTAATTCTTGGTAATGATCTTGGAAGAAAGAGGAGGGATTTGGAAATAAATTTCAGAACTAATAAACACGTAAATTTTTAACATTAAACATTTGGTAAGTACTTTATTTGTCTGTCACCTCCTAAGTAAATCGCATCTCACTTCACAAAATTGTATCATTTACGACGAAGTGACAAAATTACATATGTGAATTTATAAATTTGACTGGATTATTTCGGCAAAAAAAATAAATTGATGATGCATAATGATCGAGGTGAAGCGGTAGCCCTGGTAAACAGGCAAACAGGCAAAATTTTTACTAGTCGCTACAGGCATTCCCAGAAATCTTAAGCTTCTCGGATAATTCCAAAGCTGTGAGATTATCCACATATACTTACGAGTTTCAAAAAGGTTTCATTGTTAATTCGAAATTCACCTTGTGTTATGGTTCATTTGTATGCAGAGTTATATAGAAATAACCCCATGTATTTAATTGTACAAACAATGCCAACTTCCGGCCGACACAAAGCCATTAAATGAACAATTAAACAATGCCTGCAATTAAATACATATAACATTACTACATAATTTATACATAAATTCTAACAAAAAGATGGGGGGGTCATGGTGGTATATTTATATCCATATCCATATTTAACGTCTTACCCACTGATTAACCCTGTCGCGCTAAATGAATAAAATTATCTCTAAACAGACAAACTTGCAAAGCAATAAATACATAAGTACTGTCGACAGTGTACAATGGAGGTCACCCAACGTATGCTCACAGATTTGGACCAAACTAGCGTCAATCGATCACAAATATAATTAGTGTGAAATTTGCGAATAAAACTATCTGCCAATGGTCAAGTTTATATGAGATATTTGCATAAAATGAGGAGAAAATGCACCCCAAAAGCTGGCAAATTTTTCATTTTCTAAATTTGCTGCGCATTTTTCCCGCTTTTTATGCAAATATCTCTGCCAAACCTGCGCATTGGGAGATAGTTCCATATGCAAATTTCATACTAATTATATTTGTGATCGATTGACGCTAGTTTGGTCCAAATCTGTGAGCATACGTTGGGAGACTTCTATTGTACGTACATGTTGTGATTCTGATTCACAATTCATACTCTGTAATGTGATCAAAGTTCAGAGTCTGGCAATTTATCCAGAATAGTGACTTATTTGTCTACACGTGTGGCTGATTGGCAAATAATGTTTAATTACTTTATCTCCAATACTGCGCTGCAAATTAAGTAACGCTCTTGGCTCGATGCAAGCATCAATAATTTTGCGATGTCTTGTTCATTGTGCAATCTCCAGTAGTCAGAGGACAAATTTTATCTGGTGAGTGCATTTTTATAAGAATATGAATGAATCAGACCATGTTTTCAATTATCCAGTGAACTGAACTTCATACCCATGCATTGAGTACAAAATCATGCCATCATCATGTGATCAATTATGTACATTTCTTACATGGATACAAATCCTTAAAATAAACCGTGGTAAACGCACATAAAGAAGTACCTTCAGCCTCACTTCCCCCCAATTTCAGTTAAATCTCAATTTGCCCCGACCACACCCTCTTGAGTTGAGGGGGTGTGGCACAACTCGGTATCACTTAATTTCGCTCTATTTCATCTATAGATTCGATTTTTTGTTAAAATCTCATTTTCCCCCGACCACACCCCCTGGTGCCAGTGGGGGTGGTCCACCTGACCCCAAAAGTTGATAGGATCCTCCCCCTGGGGTCATATGTATAATGTCGAAAACCGATTTCGATTATCTCGATCCGTTCTCCCGTTATCCTGCTGACAGACGGACAGACAGACAGGCCACGGACTCCAAAATGGTCATTTTTTTGTTCAAAATTTGTAAGGAGCATATCCTATCATATATATATATATGTTCTTGACCAGGGTGACCCAAGGAATGCGCCAAATTTTTTTTGTGAGGTCACACCCCCTGGGGGGCGAACCACCCCCCCTGTGGGGGGAACTTGAGACTGACCCCTGAATATTGTTAAGCAACTATCTTAGGTGCTATGTGCCAAATTTCAGTTTTCTAACCCTCATAGTTTGGATGGTGCATGCGTTTAAAGGTCAGAAAACAGGTGTTTTGGGGCCGTTTCGACCACGCCCCCTGCCTGAAGTGGCAGACATGGGCAACTACACTAGGTGCAGTTAGACTCACCTTCAAGAGTACTACAAAATCCTGCAAGGGTTCTTTGGAAGTGAGTAGGATTCTCTAGATATTCCACATTGAAATAGTCCAAATCGTCCAAACCACGTTTTCAAACTTACAATGGAGGTCTCCCAACGTATGCTCACAGATTTGGACGAAATTAGTGTCAATCGATCACAAATATAATTAGTATGAAATTTGCAAATGGAACTATCTGCCAATGCGCAGGTTTAGTGGAGATATTTGCATAAAAACGGAGAAAACGCACCAAAAGGCTGGCATATTTTTCATTTTCCAAATTTCCTGCACATTTTTTCTGCTTTCAATTTAAATATCTCCGCCAAACCTGCGTATTGGCAGATAGTTCCATTTGCAAATTTCATACTAATTATATTTGTGATCGATTGACGCTAGTTTGGTCCAAATCTGTGAGCATACGTTGGGAGACCACCATTGTTAGTAAAAAAATATCATAACAAAAGGCGAAAAAAGCTTCGTAAGTAGTTTATGGCGAGTGAAATGAAGTTTCTGATCAATTGCAACATTTTGTACGGTTCTGGATTTGAAACAAACGTTGCAAATCTGGTTAATTTTTCACTTGGAATTGAAAAAAATTCTCGAGATTTACGTTGCTGTTGTTTCGAAACGAATTGAAATTTCATGTGGAGACGTCTGCTAAGCCTTCGTACTGGCTTACCCAGGGCAAAGGATCGATGACCTCTCTCCACTTGTTGCCCCGCAGGCCTTTTTTGGCACGGACGGTACATTTGATCAGGCCACCGCTAGCCAACATTTTCTTATTCCAGAAGTTCGTTCGCCAACTCGATTTCTTCGAGCCCGGGGAACTCAATGGATTTTTTAACCAAGATGTCGAAACCCTGAGACTGAGAAATAGATTCAGAATCAACTACTTCAATCATTTCAATAACTTGAGATGGAAAACTCAGCCTCTTTGATTCTTTAAGTCGCTTGTTGAGTGAATAGTTGGATATTAGAGGATCAGATGAATCAATACATCTATTGAACACATCTAATAGGTTTGCCGTTCGATTTATCTTACGGGAATGATATTCTCGATAGAATTTATATAGTCTGTTTCTAGACTCGCCTGCTTGCTCACTAAGCATACCTAACGGAAGGGTTGACTCTTTTATTATTTGCTCCCCATGAATCAAAAGTTTGTGGATTGATACAGGCATGTAGTACCATTTATGTTCTTTTACATACTTTTGAGCCAGCTGTCTACAATAGCTGCCAAACTTCTCAGGATTTATAGGAAGTTCTGTAGAAATGGCACACAGAATGACATGCAAGTCATGTATCAACCAAATCTCCAAGTCCAGAATACGGGCAAAAGTTTCTTGATTAGAAAAAGCTCTTCTGGCCGTATTTCCATCATTGCTTGTTCCACTACCTCCAGCCCTAGGAAAATCAACTCTTAGCCCGAGCTCAACAATTAATTTTTGTTGAATATCTCGTTTCCGGGCTTCCAGTATAGATTTTTTGTTTGGCCCTTCGACCCTCCAGCACCTCAAGCCATCGCAGTTCCTATATCCCAAGTGCAAACAAAACTCCAGAGCTCTTATCCAAGCATGAAGGGGGCTAATGCCGAATTTTAGTCGACCATCAATTGGCTGGAAGGGCAGACTTAACTGATTGAACTTAGAGGGAGTTTCTGAGCAAATTGGACAAGATTGTTGAGAAGAAGTACCAGTAACGATGCTGAGTACTTTGCCATCAATTACGGTAAAATTTAAAATTTACCGATTACGGTCAACTGCAGCCTTCTCTCTCAAAATTGACTCCTTCGACTCCTTCGCGAAGATTAACCTTAGAGGTCGACAGTATCTTACCGATTGCGGCGTTCGATTCTTCCACAATACTGTACCATTCGATTCATTTGATCTTAATTGCAGAGGTATTATTGTGGTAGCAAATAGAGAGCTGTCATCAAATCCTTCAATATTGGAGGTCTGTTTATATTGAGATTGGCCAGTCCTACCGTCAAATCCCCAAGAATAGATCATTGTTAAGTCCAATTCCTTTGACCGAAATATGTCAGAATATCTACTAAATACATCCTCTTGCAACTCAACAACCCTAGATGTTGTATGATTGACCAAATTCTGCAAGGAAATTTGTACGGATGTATCAGTAGCTGTAGCTTTAACCGTTGGGCGACACTTATCTTTGGCCTTTGCCACTAAGTAATAAGGTGGGTATAAATTGCAACCACGGGTTTTTGCTCCTTCTCGTATGTTGTTGTAGGTGGCTACGGACATGTCATTATCGATTATTAGCGCTAGCGCTTCCTCGGGTGTGTAGGACGTGATGGCAGTTTTGTCTTTAATCTTGGACACAATCTGAGAGCGAGATCGAGGGCTACTCAAAGCTTGGCTTAAAATAAATGAGATGTCGGACTCGCCTTCCCTTTTTGCTGATAACTGGGCAGCTTTGACAATTTTTTCAAGGGGTTCATCTTTGGTAGCTTCAATAACTTCTTGAACTTTCCTTCTCTTAGATGAACCAGAAGATTCATCCCAGGTCAAAGTTGGCCGCCCGACTGGCCTCGTACTTCGGGTTTTAGGAATTAACCAGTTTGGATTTAGTTCAAACTCCAAAGCAAGCCAATCCTTTTCCTTTGCTTCAAATTTAGACATTGTTCGACTCGAACTTTCCCACTTCGTGCTAAATGTATTTTTTAATCTACGATTTTTTTGTAACAGTGCAGATGCATCTTCACTAGATAAATCTATCAATAATGGTTTCAGTAGGGCAATACATTGCTTTTCTTTTTCCGCTGAGTCATTCTTTTTTAACTTTGGCAACATAAAAATTTCCACCAAACGACGATTACTTAGTTTTTTGCCATCTGTATCATCCAACACGGGATCTATCTCCATTCCTACGAAGGGTTGTGTCAATGCACTATTTTCCTCCATGTCAAGCGTAGTTTCATTCATTTTAATCGCAGAATCCACAACTCTAATCGAGATAAAGGCTAATCAAGTTACGAGGTGCAACTAGCTCTAGCAGAGTCCTTTAAGAGGCGCCACCTCTGTGGATTATCTATAAAATGTGCCTATTTTGCTCTTATTCTCGCAAATCTACACGCTTTCCGGCCCTATCAATTATGTGCCCGGGACCATGGCTCAGAATTGCCTGCTCCGCCTTGGGGTACAAATGGAACCGGGGATTATTTTACAGGTCTGGGGCATCTTCCCGGTCCTCCCGCAAGGAATCATCACAGGATTGGGCTCTTCGCCCTTTGACGCCAGTATTGAAAATGTGTGTATTCTGCTGTTGGATTTGGATGAATGCTTCCCGATTCATTTCATTGTTGTTTTATTTTTTTATTTCTCCCCTTTTATTTTTTCTATTTTTTTATGGGGCAATTCTTCTCCCCTTTTATTTTTTCTATTTCTTTATAGGGCAATTCTTTCCCCTTTTATTTTTTGTTGCATTATTTATCGGGAAATTCTTATCCATTTTATTTTTTCTTTCCATTATTTATGGGTCAATCCTTATCCCCGTTATATTTTTTGTCCCATTATTTATGAGGCAATTCTTATCCCCTTTATATTTTTTGTTGTATTTTTTGTGGGACAATTCTTCTCCCCTTACATATAGTTTCAAGTTTCTAAATATTTTTTATTTTTTTAAGACATTACACGACAATGTTTACTTTCCAAATGGGGTCTGTGTGAACTTCAACACCTTTTCAGTGCGAGTTATTTGAAGTTATGCCGCTAGGATGCGGAAGCGCAGCCAGTAAGAGGCACACCTTTGTAGCGGGGTGGACTCGCTCAGTTATCCTGAATGTACAAAATATCGCAGTAAAGCATAACAAGTAAATAAAATCTTAAAACCTCTAAAATTATACGTAATTTTGAGAAGTCATTCCGCATATGAAACCCTAAATAAACCACCCCATCTTAGCCCAAAAAACTAATTCCCCGCCACCACGAGGAAGCCTGCCTCAGGTTAGCTTTGTGACCGAAGGCCTCAATTAGGCCTCAGGTCAGCCAACCCTTCTCTCAAGGGACGACGAGAACTCTCACCCCCAATCATTTGGTGTATGGTGGCTGGATAGCACCAGGTCAGGTTGGCCCGGCTGCCTCAGATGCAGTGCAATCTCGGCAAGCCCTTTCGTTCCATGGGCAGCCGTCATTGACCTGGTGGATTCAACCCTTGATATTTTTCAAAAAAAAATATCCATTTTGGAGTCGGTGACATTGGACCGCCCATACAACGTAGCGGACTCACTGAACGAGATTTGCAACGTTTGTTTCAAATCCAGAACCGTACAAAATGTTGCAATTGATCAGAAACTTCATTTCACTCGCCATAAACTACTTACGAAGCTTTTTTCGCCTTTTGTTATGATATTTTTTTACTAAGTTTGAAAACGTGGTTTGGACGATTTGGACTATTTCAATGTGGAATATCTAGAGAATCCTACTCACTTCCAAAGAACCCTTGCAGGATTTTGTAGTACTCTTGAAGGTGAGTCTAACTGCACCTAGTGTAGTTGCCCATGTCTGCCACTTCAGGCAGGGGGCGTGGTCGAAACGGCCCCAAAACACCTGTTTTCTGACCTTTAAACGCATGCACCATCCAAACTATGAGGGTTAGAAAACTGAAATTTGGCACATAGCACCTAAGATAGTTGCTTAACAATATTCAGGGGTCAGTCTCAAGTTCCCCCCACAGGGGGGGTGGTTCGCCCCCCAGGGGGTGTGACCTCACAAAAAAAATTTGGCGCATTCCTTGGGTCACCCTGGTCAAGAACATATATATATATATGATAGGATATGCTCCTTACAAATTTTGAACAAAAAAATGACCATTTTGGAGTCCGTGCAAAGTCTTCGCATAAAGTAGCTGAAGCTACTTAATAATATGCATGACATTGAGTTTATATAATTTTTAAGAAAGGAAAAGGTGAAAGATAAATGGATCGGGAGATTCTTCAACGTGCCCAGTTCTCTCTGAGTTTTGAGAGGGGAAACATATTTCAATTTTTGCTAAGAAAATTTTATCGAGCTAGATAACGCGATGCAAGACAAATCGTGTATTACTTTTTCTTAAAACTACCGTAAATACTCTATTTGTAGTCGGGGCTAAAATCCGAAAATGAGGGTCACAGACCCGGCTAAAATTTGTCCCACAAAAATTTTAGATATTATAAAATTGCGAATAATTAATGTTGACTCGAGTTGAGTTATTTTATTTAGCAAAATATGACATAAGTTAAATATTGGCATTACATTTTAGACGAGGTTTTGTAATTTTTTTAAAATTTCTTGTCTTGATTATATGCATTCTTATTACGATCTTAACACAAAATTCTGTAAATTTTGATCCTATTGGTTGATTAACCGGATGTTCAGTTTTTCTATGATTGGGTATGAGCGGGGACACAGCGAAAAATATCGGCCATTAGAGACCAGTAATAATTAGGAACTCGGGTAAAATTTTGGAAATCTTTGACTTTAGACCTAGATTTTGGAATATGGCTATAGAGTATTCACGGTAAATTAAAAAATCAGAAATATATAGTAATGATAGAGGGTACATAACTATTAATAATTACCATTATTATTTATAATTATAATTAACAAATAATAAATTTGCAAAATAATAAATCAAAACATAAAATCTTAAAAATCTACAAATAAATTCTCAAACTAATAAATCGGAACATAAAATCTCAAAAAATAGTCAAAAATAAATTTGTTTAGAATTTATTTGTTTGCATGCTCTTTTTAATAAAGTTGTTGACATTTTATGATTTGTTTTATTATTTTGAGAACTTATTTTTTGACCAATTTTTTGAGATTTTATGTTTTGACTTATTATGTTGTGAACTTATTTTTTGACCATTTTTTTAGATTTTATTTTTCTACTTATTATTTTGTGAATTTATTTGTTGACTACTTTTGAGATTTTATGTGTTGATTTATTATTTTGAGAACTTATTTTTGACTACTTTTTGAGATTTTATGTGTTGATTTATTATTTTGAGAACTTATTTTTTGACCAATTTTTTGAGATTTTACGTTTTGATTTATTATGTTGAGAATTTATTTGTTGACTACTTATTGAGATTTTTTGTTTTGATTTATTATTTTGAGAACTTATTTTTTGACTACTTTTTGAGATTTTCTGTTGATTTATTATTTTGAGAACTTATTTTTTGACTACTTTTTGAGATTTTCTGTTGATTTATTATTTGGAGAACTTATTTTTTGACCAATTTTTTGAGATTTTACGTTTTGATTTATTATGTTGAGAATTTATTTGTTGACTACTTTTTATTTTGTGAACTTATTTTTTGACCAATTTTTTGAGATTTTATGTTTTGATTTATTATTTTGAGAATTTATCTGTTGACTACTTTTTGAGATTTTGTGTTGATTTATTATTTTGAGAACTTATTTTTTGAACAATGTTTTGAGATTTTATGGTTTGTTTTATTACTTTGTGAATTTATTTGTTGACTACTTCTTGAGATTTTTGTTTTGATTTATTATTTTGAGAACTTATTTTTGACTACTTTTTGAGGTTTTATGTGTTGATTTATTATTTTGAGAATTTATTTGTTGACTACTTTTTGAGATTTTATGGTTTGGTTTATTATTTTGAGTATTTGTATGTTACAATTTTATGAGAGTTGAATAATGACTGCTTTTTGCACAACGGGCGAAACTCGGTTTAGTTGCAATTTGCATTTATTTATTTATTTTTGTGAAGATAATTATATCTAGACGGGCGCGGGTAGGAGCTAATTGCGGGTGAAAGATAATCACGGGTAACATGGGTAGGCAATGATGGGTGGGGAATAATTGGTAGGAGTTTTCCGCAAACCAAATAGAAATGTAGTGACTCCAGACATTCTCGTAGTCTTTTACAAATACAGGGTGGTTAAAATGTCAGGTTACAATGGACAATTTTTCAATGGGGAAAATTCGTTAATTTCCATTAGTTACGGATTTGGGATTGAGATTTTTATTAATTTTTATCAAAACTTATGAAACACTGATGACAAAATTCTTAAAATCTTGAATTTCAGAGGCAAAATTTCGATAACTAATGGAAATTTGCGAAGTTTTCCCGTTGAAAAATTTTCCATTGTAACCTGACATTTTAACCACCCTGTACATGGGCATTCTTACACTAAGATTTTGTAGACCACATTGGCAACTCGTTTCTTCGAATGCAATTGTTACATATTTATTTTTATTATTAGGCGTTGGTTCCTTGCCCTTGCTACAATCTGGTGGACTGGAGTACTTGTCAATTCGCAACTCTTGAACTTGGCACCACTTCTTGGCGTACGTCGTAAATTTTAATTGTTTATGATCAACTTCGATGAGTCATTCCATCCCGTCCAATTCCGCCCCATGTGCCATGTTTGCTTATCGAGAATGAAAATTAACTGTTCACTGTTAAAATTCATTAAATTTTAAATGCTATTTAAAAAAAATTAATATTTTTAATTTAACAATTCCTTTCTCTATTGTTGTTTTGCCCGTCCAAGGAAGACAATTTGTGTCCAAAAATCTGGCTGTGCAATTTTGTTAAGTTACAAATGTAGAATTTTTTAAAGTAACAACATTAAAATTTTATTGAATATTAACGGCGAAAAGTTAATTTTCATTCCCCATAAGGAAACATGACAGATGGGGCGGAATAAGACGGGCGGAACCATCTTAACTTGTTTACAGAAGTGTAAAATATCCGTCATTTTTATTACAGTGTGCGATTAATGGTTGTGAATCCGCAAACTTTCGTTGTGGACCCGACGGTATTGTTCCGTCCTGCAATCACACCCAAAGTGGGTGTGGCTCCTCAATTTTTTCATACGCATGCCTATGGCCCCTAAGAACTAATAATATGCAAAAATATATTTTACAAAATGCTCGTCGACTTTCTTCCGTTCTCATGTATTGCCATTTACCACTGTGCTTTGGTGACTCATATAGCCACCGCCATAGTTTCATGCCGACTAATTCAGTGCGTACTTTTTAAAACGAGGACAATCGACATGTTTACCTGATCTTCGTTTCAAATTAGATTGATAATATATAAATTGCAAATAATTTATCCAATTTGACTTGTAAATTAGTGCGACAACCGGCAAAACAAATGCGACTCCACTCCCTGCGGCAACCTTGAACGAGCAGAGTGTATCCTGAACAAGTATGGCACCCATTGCAAATGTATTTCGCTGATAACTTCAACTTACGTAATACTTTACTTCGTAACAATTTTTCATTCCTTTCTCGGTTCAGATTCAATTAACGAAATTAAAAACCAATAACTTTAGTGCAATACTGTAAACACGTCATGCAGCTTGCCGTATGTTAATCAAGAAGATATCCAACACTTTCGCGAAATTTGCCAGAATCTGGGTCAAGGATATTTTGCTGAAACGTGCCGTCGAAATGGTGAATGTCGATGTGACAATACCTCACCTGTTGTAAGAATCTTTATTTACCTGAAGTACAACTACGCGTGCTTATGTAGGTATCAGAATATATAATAAACTACTTGCAGTGCGAATCTCGAGTGTATGACACACCGGTTGGAATACAAGTTCCCGAGTATTGGGGTAGTACGTGACAAAAGCAATACGCAATCGATAATGCAACTGTTTAAACGGAAAAATTATATAAACTGTTTTTACTTTTACAAGTTAATTGTTTCTTTATTTATTCTAAAATTGTTTCAATTTATTTAGGAAATATTTTCCACGTGCGTAGCTAGTAATTATTTCCTAATAGTTGCAATTAGTTAAGACTATGTTGAAAGCTATAATTCTATAAATTCTAAAAACTATTTAAGAAAATTCAATAATAATAAGATTGTTCAGTAAAAAAGGATGCTGCTCCATCGTTTAAGATATTTTGAAGTTTGATATCTTAAACAGTTCGCAAGAACAATTTTTTTCTACAGTTCTGAGAGAAGAAGATCTCCTTCAATTAGGCGATGCCAGATAAATTTTAGTTTCATAACTTTTCAATAACATAAAATTAATTAAAATTACAAATTCCTCCATGAAAATTATTAAGTATCGTCATCTGAATAACTTAAAACCTTAAACACATCACATTATCATGAAAACTGAAGGCTACGCATAATTTTTTGCAAGTATCAAAAACTAATTAATTTATAAAGAGCAAAAACAGTTTCCACAATTTTGAGTTTAGTATATTTTATTAGAACCATTGATTTGATTTTGTCTCCAGGTGGTCCCGTAATTGGTCCACATCTCACGGTAACGGTAACTGGATGTCAGCGGCGTAGCCAAGGGGGGGGGGCTAGGGGGGCTTGGAACCCCCCCCAGAGCCCGAGAAAATGAAAAAAATACTTAAAAAATAAAAATTAAAAAATAAATAAAAATTATTATTTATTTTTTAATTTTTATTTTTTAAGTATTTTTTTCATATAAAAAAATAAAAAACTAAAAGTAAGTTACGTATGAATTTATATGTTACACATTAGGGGAATTCGTTATTACTTCGTACTCTTAGGATTTGTATTTTTTGTATCGAAAAATAAGTTACGACGGCTAACAAGGGACACTCACGACCTGTCGTTTGAGTCCAGAGTACCCACTATGTTTTTTAGAATCTACTAGGACCTCACATGAAGGATGCATTCATATTTCCGTGTAAAACTCATATTTGGCGTCGTTCCGTGGCGCCAAATTCGCCAAATTTGAATGTTTTTATTTTTGAAACCGCCATAACTTTTGAAATCCTGGACAGATTTTGAAAATTTTTGGCAAAAATCATGACAAGGAGTTCAACTTTCTTATCCCATGAAATTTTTTCCAAAATTATCGCTTTTAACTTTTCGCAAAATTTCGTAATTTTCATAGAAATGGGGGTTCGTCGAAAAAATGCTAAAAATATTTCAAAAATTGAAAATTTGTTATTTTTATTTTTTTTCTCAAAAATGTCGGCTTTTGTGATCATTTTAAGCATAAAATTTTGAAAATCCGACATAAACTGCAAAAGTTATGGGGGTTTGAAATTGGTCGAAAATGCAAATTTTTAAGTTTGGCGCCACGCCATGGCGCCAAATATGAGTTTTACACGGAAATATGAATGGATCCTTCATCTGGGGTCCTAGTAGATTCTAAAAAACATAGTGGGTACTCTGGACTCAAACGACAGGTCGTGAGTGTCCCTTGTAAGAGATTTTAAAAGCGTCGTAAGACTGTAATAAACAAATCACGCTACTACCAATACGTATGTACTAAATTTGGTGTTTAGTATGTAAATACCAAATGGTTTCCTCTGATTTTAATAGGACAAATTTTAAATTGTTAACGAACAAAAATTAAAATATCTACAGTTTTGCTTTTTCATATATCAACGTGTTTGTCCTTGTGGCGGAATTTTTAACCACAACCAGAATCATTAGAAATTTTATTTTATTATATTGTATTTTAACTTTTTCAATTTTAAACTGATTTCAAAATTAGAGGACATTTTTTGTATTTTTAAACTTCTAAAGTATGTAGTATGCAAATTTCAAATTTTAAAAGGTTCTAGTAAAGTATTTGTTGTGTCTGTAATCGGGTTAAAATTGGAAACGTTACAGCGTTTTGAAAAATCCTGATTTTGGTTAAAAGTTTGGACAAAGGAGAAACTACGCGCATTCAAGAAAATTCAAAAAGATGGGCCCACTTATTTCTGCGCACGAAGTATTTAAAATTTATATTATCTACGTTGACCCTGAAGAAGGCAATATTTATTTGTCGAAAGCTTGGCGAAGCAAATAAAACTGTAAAGTTTACAAAATAGTACTCCTAGACCGTTTCACAACATTTTTGTCCGGTCGAAATCGCAGAAAACCATTCCAGGTCTCCGCATTGTAAGCTCACGTTGTTATGAGCCTTGACGCTCAGTTTTTGATTTCTATGCTATTTTACGATACTAAGAACGCGAAGGAAAATCTGGATACCGGTTTTGAATATGAGGCGTGTGTGTATTTAAATCGTCGTTTAATTTTTCATTTGCATAAATGTTTGAGGCTTTTTTTAGTCAAAAATACTGTAAGTTTCGTTGCCAAGGTTTCTATGTACTTATTAGACGTATGCAAAATGTGTAAATTTACTAATTTTTGATAACGGAACATTATTCACTGCAAATAAAATCTTTCTTTCTCGAAACTGCTTGTACTACAAATCTCAATTTTTTAAAGAAAGGACACGTCATTCTTAACGTTATCAAATCCTCACTTTTTCACGTTGACGTTGACGTCAATGGAACACTTCCGTCAATATTTTGTATGGGCACATGATTTTTTTCGATTATGTTGTAAGTCCTGCGGCCATATAATGATTATCGGATTTTCGGTTACTTTGATCTGATTTTCGTTTAGCCCATTTTACGTCACTTGCATAATTTGGACAGGAATTTGGACTCATATTATGAAATATGAGTCTTTTTCTGGTAGGGGAGACTATTTTAGATCAGAGCTCTGATCGTACCTCGGAGCTCACCTCTGCGCAGAGGTGAGCCAATTGAGCGGTGTGAGGATCTTTGCCCCCCATTAAAAGCTACCCATGAAATTTCAACCAAATCGGAGGGTTACACTTCACACCATCGCATTGTTAGTAATTTTTGTTGTTAGGTATTTGCCTCACTAAGAAAAATAGAGGGGAATCGAGCAGCGGTTTTCAAAACCTCGGCTCGCTCAAGCACGGTTCGCAAAAAGTACGAAAAAAGCTCGACTCAGGAAAGACTCGAAAAAGCTCGACTCAGGAAAGACTCGAAAAAGCTCGACTCAGGAAAGACTCGAAAAAGCTCGACTCGCTCAAGCTCAATTGAACCGAGCCGAGAACTAGCAAGCCGCCTCAACTTTGGAGATTCACGGGGAGATTTGCGGATCTTTGCCCCCCATTAAAAGCTACCCATGAAATGCTACCCATTATATGCTACCCGAGATGATCTGCCCCCCATTATATCCTACCTGCCCCATTTTCACTTTCTTCTTGCAAATTAAACCAAAATGGATACCCCGTTTTGCGTCGTAGTGCAACATAAGAGTTACTGTTTATTTACGCAAAATTAGTCAAATAATAAATTCTCAAAAAACGAATCAATACATGAAATTTTGAGGACCAAGTATGTCATATCACGTATTTGAAAATAATGCAAATTTCTCAAATTTTCTTAAAATGCGAGTGCTTCTTTGGTATTTTGTGGAAAACTCGATGGTAAAAGTTGACTTTTTTTGGATATTTTTCTTCACAAATTCTGGAATTTTCCCTATACTGACCAATGCTAAAAACCTACAGTGCAGACTTGACATAGCCCGAGTCAAGGCTAGTTGTGATTATCACTCTCATTCGACTTTTTTGCATGAAATTTTATCGTAAATGCACATGAACATATTAAAAGATATAGGGATATCCACTGATCACCAGTATCAGCGGCGTAGCCAGGATTGGGCCTTGGGGGGGCCAGCCCCAATAATATTTCGATTACCCTTTTTAGGCTTAAAATCTCTACGTTCACTCACTCACACTGCTTTTAAACAGGGTGCAAATACATAGTTACCATATCTTAGCTTTAAGCGTCAAAAACCACTAACTATAGCACGCCGTATACAATGCCTGACCCATAAACGCCTGAAACATTTGTTATATCTTGTTGTACATAAGCTGTGTGTATCTACTTCATCCAAGTGGTTTTTTATGACAAAAAAATCGGATTACACATTAACGATGGTCTGCAAATTTGTGTTAAACTTTGTTGGTACCAAGTGTTTTTAGCGCAAAGCGTGACACCTCAAATGGTAGTGGCCGGCTAAAAAATCAACTTTATGTTCCTTTGATAGCCTGTTGTGCATTCAAAGAAAAATTGTACGAACAATTCCGGGCAACATGATTTTAATAACAAAATTTTAATGATTACTTAAATATCAAACCACTTGCTAATCGACATAAATTTGCTAATTTGCTAAAGGTCATCAACAAAGAGCTTAGGGCATGATCGGCATAATTGGTCCTACATAATCGTAAGACTAAGGACTAATATAAATGGTGTAAATTTATTCCGGTAACATTCATTTTTTGGCGCCTGCTCGAGACAAGATCAGCTATGTATAACTATTGATCCCGTCAATATTTTTCGTTGAATTTTTTACCATGGGTGGAATGAAGACAAGTGCTGATTTACAGCACCATAGCTTTCAGATGCAGGTGCTAGAAGCGTGTAAATCTAATTAAAAATTAAAATCACTCAAAATTCGGATGTGCAGGAAAATTTCTGGCAATGCGAGAATAACAAGTTTTCCAAGAATGACCTAAATAATTCAAAATAGAGGTGAGTCGAGCAGCGGTTTACAAAAGCTCGGCTAGCCCAAGCACAGTTCCTAAAAAGCTCCAAACGAGCTAGACTCAGAAAAAACTGGAAAAAATTCGGCTCGCTCAAGCTCGGCTCGCTCAAGCTCAGTTAAACCGAGCAGAGCACGAACAAGAGCGGTTCAATTGAGCTCACCTCTAATTCGAAATTGTGTCATATACCAGAAAAAGACTGTTTATTCTTAAATTTCATGAGATAACTTAAAGTTCTTGTGCAAATTATGCAAGGAGTATAACAACGTAAAACAGCCTAAATGAAAATCATATCAAAGTAGCCGATTGTGGTGAAAACTATAGTTAAATAATGCGTCAACGATTTGAAAAAGTGAGAATTTGATAACGTGAAGAATGGCGTGACCTTTTTTAAAAAATGAATTTTTTAATACCTGCAGTTTCGAAAAATAAATATTTTCTTTGCAGCAAAAAATGTTACCGGATTAAATTTTCGCCCTCTTGCATATGCATGTCTAATACGCATTTGTCTAATACGAAACCTCG